GGGGGGGGGGTGGTCTTTAATACCCATCATTTTGAGGATACCCCCATTGATAGACATCCTTTTTATGATGGTCCTCAAAATTTCCCCCTTTTGATGATGCTGGAGAGAAAACCCCTCCAAATGTTTTCGAGGAAACCCGGAACAAGCCTGTCTTAAAAAGGAGGCCAAACTGTCCCTTGGGCCCTGCTTTTGAGTTTTTTCTGACCATTCGCGCTCAATCACTGCTCCCTACTTGGTGCCTTGGTTTGGCTGTTTGGATGTTGGCGCCCTTGCCTTGACGCGACAAGGAGTGGCTCAAACCCACCAATCCAAACCAACTGAGCGGTACTCATTTAAAAAAATATATGGAAAAAAACAAACACTTTAAAACAAGGGGGGGAAAAACGCACCCCAACTGGACCCCCACTTTTGTTCCCTTCCGAAAAACCGCCGTCGGAACAACCTAAAAAAAAGAGCCATTCCCCCCCCCCCCCCTCCCCCCCGCCCTTCCCCAGGCGGCGCCAGCCTGCTGCAGCAAGGGGAAGCAGCGCGCGTCCCAGAAGTCCTGCACGGCCGGCCGCGGACTTAAGCACACAGAATCAACTAACCTGTTGAGTTTTCCCGAAAGCATGGCGAAGGGTTCTTCCGCTGGGTTCACTTGAGTTGTTCTCATGAGAGTCATTACAAGGTGTCATTGCAAGGAATCAGCATCATGAAAGTCATTGCAAGGAGTCATTGCAAGGAATCATCATCATGAAAGTCATTGCAAGGAGTCATTGCAAGGAGTCATTGCAAGGAGTCATTGCAAGGAGTCATTGCAAGGAGTCATGGCAAGGAGTCATTGCAAGGAGTCATTGCAAGGAGTCATGGCAAGGAGTCATTGCAAGGAGTCATTGCAAGGAGTCATTGCAAGGAGTCATTGCAAGGAGTCATTGCAAGGAGTCATTGCAAGGAGTCATGGCAAGGATTGCAACTTGCACTTGACTCCTTGCACTTGCAACTTGCACTTGACTCCTTGCACTTGCAACTTGCACTTGACTCCATGCACTTGCAACTTGCACTTGACTCCATGCACTTGGCTCCTTGCACTTGGCTCCTTGCACTTGGCTCCTTGCACTTGCAACTTGCACTTAACTCCGTGCACTTGCGACTTGCACTTGACTCCATGCACTTGGCTCCTTGCAACTTGCAATGGCTCTCATGACTCCTTGCAATGACTCCTTGCAATGACTCCTTGCAATGACTCCTTGCAATGACTCCTTGCAATGACTCCTTGCAATGACTCCTTGCATGACTCCTTGCAATGACTCCTTGCAATGACTCCTTGAAACAAGCAAGGAGTCAAGTGCAAGTTGCAAGTGCAAGGAGTCAAGTGCAATTGACTTGCGAGGAGTTAAAATCTCTTCATAGGGCGGCGGGGTAGTGCCGACGACACTACACGAAAATCGACCCTCTGCGGGGATCGGCGTGGTCGAGGTGCAAAAACTCATGGTTTTTTGCTTTCTAAAGTTCCCGCGCGACCCTCTGCGGGGATCGGCGTGGTCGAGGTGCAAAAACCCATGGTTTTTTGCGATTTCTAAAGTTCCCGCGCGACCCTCTGCGGGGATCGGCGTGGTCGAGGTGCAAAAACTAATGGTTTTTTGCGATTTCTAAAGTTCCCGCGCGACCCTCTGCGGGGATCGGCGTGGTCGAGGTGCAAAAACTCGAGGTTTTTTGCGATTTCTGCGGTGCTCGCGCGACCCTCTGCGGGGATCGGCGTGGTCGAGGTGCAAAAACTCGAGGTTTTTTTTGCGATTTCTGCGGTGCTCGCGCGACCCTCTGCGGGGATCGGCGTGGTCGAGGTGCAAAAACTCGAGGTTTTTTTGCGATTTCTGCGGTGCCCGCGCAACCCTCTGGGATCGGCGTGGTCGAGGTGCAAAAACTCGAGGTTTTTGCGACTTTTGTTGTTCGAACTGGTTCTGGTTCGCGCGCCTGCTCCCGGAACCGGCGGGTCGCGGGTTCGATTCCTCTCCTCGTTCGATTCCTCCCTGGTCCGCGGGCGGGCGTCGCAAGATGCAACTTGCATTTTAAAGCAACTTGCGCAGAGCAACTTGCGCAGAGCAAGTTGCACAGAGCAACTTGCGCAGACCAACTTGCACCGACCAGTTTGCGCAGAGCGCCTTGCCTAGAGCAACTTGCGCAGAGCAACTTGCGCAGAGCAACTTACGCAGAGCAACTTGCACAGAGCAACTTGCACAGAGCACCTTGCCTGGTGCTGTCTCGCGCTTGCTTCACGAGTGCTTCGTGTAGGGAAAAAGAACGCATCCTGCAGCGTTGGGCCGACCTCGCTTGCGATGTTCTGCTTTCGGGCCAACCGTGGTCTAGTTTAGGTGTTCCCCTAGATTCTAGGGGTGACTTCCCCATTCTTTCCAGGGATCCTTCTTTCTAGAAAACCGCCAAAATACCCTGGGGAAATGGCGCCCTGCTGGAGTCCACTCGCTCCTTGGTTGTTTTTTGGCGCCTGCAGCCTCGGCCTCGCCGGCGCTGCCCGCGTCGGGCGCGCCGCTGTAGCCAGCGGTCTCCGTGGCTCGCACTCACACACCTGAGTGTCATCGTCTCTTTCTTACACTTGCATCCTTATCTACTTGTACGTGTCTGCCCATTGGAACAAATCACGGAGTATAAATTATGGGTACTCTCTCATATATATTCATATATATACACTTCCACACACCTGAGTGTCATCGTCTCTTTCTTACACTTGTATCCTTATCTACTTGTACGTGTCTGCCCATTGGAAGAAATCACGCAGTATAAATTATGGGTACTCTCTCAAATATATTTTTGTATATATATATATATATGTCATCGTCTCTTTCTTACACTTGCATCCTTATCTACTTGTACGTGTCTGCCCATTGGAACAAATCACGGAGTATAAATTATGGGTACTCTCTCATATATATATATATATTCTTCCACACACCTGAGTGTCATCGTCTCTTTCTTACACTTGTATCCTTATCTACTTGTACGTGTCTGCCCATTGCAAGAAATCACGCAGTATAAATGATGAGTACTCTCTCATATATATTTTATATATAAATATACTTCGACACGCCTGAGTATCATCGTCGCTCTCTTGCACTTCTATCCTTATCTACTTGTACGTGTCTGCCCGTTGGAAGAACTCACACAGTATAAATTATTGGTACTCTCTCATACATATATATATACTTCCACACACCTGAGTGTCATCGTCTCTTTCTTACACTTGTATCGTTATCTACTTGTACGTGTCTGCCCATTGGAAAAATTAGGCAGTACAAATTATGGGTACTCTCTCATATATGTATATATATATATATTTACTTTGCCACGCCTGAGTGTCATCGTCTCTTTCTTACACTTGCATCCTTATCTACAAGTAGAACGTGTGTGCCCATTGGAAGAAATCACGGAGTATAAATTATGGGTACTCTCTCATATATATTTATATATAAATATACTTCGACACGCCTGAGTATCATCGTCGCCCTCTTGCACTTCTATCCTTATCTACTTGTACGTGTCTGCCCATTGGAAGAACTCACGCAGTATAAATTATTGGTACTCTCTCATATATATATATATATATTCTTCCACACACCTGAGTGTCATCGTCTCTTTCTTACACTTGTATCCTTATCTACTTGTACGTGTCTGCCCATTGGAAGAAATCACGCAGTATAAATGATGAGTACTCTCTCATATATATATATATACTTTATCTACTTGTACGTGTCTGCCCATCACTGCATTGGCCGCTCCAAGGCGCACCTGAAGTGACTCTTGCAAGAGCTGCATCTTTCTGGGGAGGATGCCCCCACCTCTCTGAGAGAAGGGAGTGCTCATGCAGAGAGAGTCACGACAAGATACGCATTGGAAAAATTCATGCACCTGGACCTTCGTCCTCCTGAAAAAAAACGGAGTTCCCGCCTTCTTTGACTGGGAATTCGGTAAATCGTATGACTTTTCTGGGCAAACTCCTGAAACTCCTAGAACTCCTGCTTTTCCTTGTTTCCCGCCAAAAACAGCTGCAGGTGCCACACGCTGTGTGTGACACGCAACGCGCCCGGCAGCAGCTGCGAGGCCTCAGATTCTGGCAGGAGTGAGGTGACTCGGGACAACATATTGAGCGATTTAGCCCTTACCTAAATGACCATTTCATTTTGGAGCACTTGAGCTTTCCTCTCGGCCTCCGCAATGGGTGTCGGGTATTTGATGGATGCTGGCAGTGGGTGGTGATTCGCAGCTGCAAGGCGGCTTACCTGACTTTAGCGAGCTTTGCTCCCCATGTTGCTGCAAGTCACCTACGCGCTAATGAGGCCGAGCGGATCTATCTTTCAGGCGCACCAGTCGCGCTTTCCAGTTCGATCGTGCGGTTCACGCGTGCGTTTGCATGGGGATGCTGGGTATCATGCATGTCGCCCATATCGTACATTTGCTCCAAGCTCACGTCCTTGGTTAGATAGCCAATTTAAGATGTGCACTCGGCTGGCAATGGACTGGGAAGCTGAAAGCGACCTGCGGCAGCTGGCCTCAAAGCACAGCCTTGCTGCTTTGCTAGCAAGATTAACTCGCGATAGCGCATCGATCACGCGCGCGCGAACTGGTGCAAGCGCTGCATCTAAGGTTCAGGTCCAGGGCTCGCGAGTTACTAGAGATGCCCTCACCACGAATGAGAAGGTCTTGACGCTCGCGATGATGAACTTGGGCAGCCGTGGGGTCGGGGTCGATGTGATTGGCATGCACCTGCACTCGTGCTATCAAATGCAACGCATCCTCATCCCTCGTTGCTTGCGCGCACACGTTCTATTTTTTGGTTTTTCCTAATTTTGTGAGTGTGCGCAGCCTGATTCTGAAAACATATGCTTTGCTCACGCACGCGTGGCCCAGGCTCTACGGTGCATTTGCAAGCATGGTTCTTAAAGCGGTCGATGAGTTTGTTCAACGACATAGCTCGTCGACCCCATGTCCCTAGAGAGGCCGCTTTGCGACGCATGATGCGCGCTGTTGGGATGGAAGTGCCAGAGGTAACATCACGAAATCTGGCCGGGTATGAGGATGACGCGGCTCATGATGAGCAGTTTGAGTTCAGTGATGATGAGGCTCCCTTGGAAGCCATCGCTTACGAAGCTACTGAAGAGGACCTAGAAAGCGAGTGCTTGGAAGATGACCCATGCCAATTAGCTTGACTTAGTTTGTGACGGGTACCGGCTATTTCTTTCAACTGTCAACAGCGTATCAATCGATTTTGTTTCTTGATTGGGAACACATGCCCCTCAGGCATTGAAGATGTTCAAGAGCCCTCCCAGCAGACCGAGACAATGAAGCTGCAAGATCTGGCAGCCCGGCCCAAACACGAAATACAACCATTTGTTTCAGATTGGGGTTCCGCGGCACCCTGTACGGCCAAGGCACCTCCTCCAGCAAAGCCTTCGGCAAAGCCGTCGTCGGCACCAAGCATCTCGCCTGCCAGGATTGCGGATTTGACGACCCCTTCCCCGAAAGGCTGGCTGAATGGGCGCGAAAAATATATGTTCAAAGGGATGACGTACGTCCGAACACCATATAAAAAGTGATTCAATGTACTTCCCTTAAGATCATTCTTTTGCCCTTCGAGGTGCCAAAGAGATCCTGGAAACCCCGCAGAAAGAGGACCGTAGGGAAAAGCTCGAGAAACTGCAGCTCTTGCTCTTGCAGCTGGCGCGGTTAAGCGACTTAAAGAAAATCAAGGAAAGCATGTCTCCAAGGGGTGTCTGCACCTTGCCTGCATGTATTTGCATGTTTTATCTCGCAGGGCAATATATACATATATATATATATGACATATATGGATCTGTGTTTACATGTATGTGTGAGCGTGCTTTTTGTGTCTTGTGTGTGTGTGTGTCTGCATGTTTGTGTGTGTGTGTGTCTGTGTGTGTGAGATTCTGCGTGTGTCTCTCTGCATGCGTGAGTGTGCATATATGTGTGTGTGTCTGTGTGTAGGGACCGACTTCGATTCGCGTAAGCGTGAGGCACCGACAACCTGGACACCCTGCCCCCCAGCGCCACTGCCACGGCGGCGGCGGGCAACTTGGACAAGGCGGGCATCCTGAAGAAGGAGACTGCGGCGGGTGAGCTGGCGGGCAACTTGCACGAGGCGGGCATCTTCGAGAAGGAGACGGAGCTGGCAGGCAACATGGAGAACAAGGCGGGCATCTTTGAGGAGGGCATCTTCGAGGAGTCTGCGACGGGCAAGGGCAAGTTGGACAAGAAGGACATCTTGCAGAAGGAGACTGCCAAGGCGGAGCTGGCAGGCAACATGGAGAACAAGGCGGGCGTCTTCGAGGAGTCTGCTACGGGCGAGCTGGCGGGCAAGGCGGGCATCTCGGACGAGTCTGCAACGGGCGAACTGGCGGGCAACTTGGACAAGGCGGGCATCTTCGAGAGGACTGCCAAGGCGGAGCTGGCAGGCAACATGCAGAAGAAGGCGGGCATCTTGGAGGAGTCTGCAACGGGCGAGCTTGCGGGTAACGTGGGCATCGTAGATGAGTTTACGAACGGGCTGGCGAGCAACTTGGACAAGGCGGGCATCTCGGAGGAGTCTGCCACGGGCAAGCTGGCGGGCAACTTGGACAAGGCGGGCATCTTGGAGGAGTCTGCTACGTGTGAGCTGGCGCTCAACTTGGACAAGGCGGGCATCTTGGAGGAGTCTGCTACGGGCGAGCTGGCGGGCAACTTGGACAAGGCGGGCATCTCCGAGGAGTCTTTCACGGGCAAGCTGGCGGGCAACTTGGACAAGGCGGGCATCTTGGAGGAGTCTGCTGCGGGTGAGCTGGCGGGCAACTTGGCGGCCAACTTGGACAAGGCGGGCATCTTGGAGGAGTCTGCTGCGGGTGAGCTGGCGGACAACCTGGCGGCCAACTTGGACAAGGCTGGCATCTTGGAGGAGTCTGCTACGGGTGAGCTGGCGGGCAACCTGGCGGCCAACTTGGACAAGGTGGGCATCTTGGAGAAGGAGACGGCCAAGGAGGAGCTGGCGGTTGACGACAGCGTGGAGGCGAAGAAGGCGGACTTCAAGGTGGACAACGCGAACAAGCCGGCGGGCAAGAAGCGCAAGGCGGCCAGCGACAAGAACAACGCCGAGGTGGAGCTGGCGGGCGACTTGAAGAAGGGCAAGGGGAAGCGAGCGGGCAAGGCGCGAGGCAAGCCCATGGTGGGCGAGGTGGCTGAGCAGGCGGGCGTTGCTGAGAAGACGGAAGAGAAGGCGGGCGTTTCTGAGCAGACAGATGATGCGGACGCTTCGTGGTTTGGCAAAGTCCCGTTCATTTCTGCGGAGGAGCAATGCCCTGGCAAGAAGAGGGGCAGGAAGCCGAAGAAAGCTGAGAAGAACGAGCCGGAGCAGTTGGCAGAAGGCAGCGCGGGGCGGGGGCGCGGTCGTGGGCGCGGTCGTGGGCGTGGCCGTGGGGCCAAGAGTGCGCCGATGAGGGCAGAGTCTGATGCCGATGATGAGGGGTCGGCGGAGGCTGATGACAAGGCGGCTGCTGCTGACAAGGCGGCTGCTAGTGACAAGGCGACGGCGACAAAGAAGCGATCTACAAACGGGCAGGCCGCAGCTGCCCCAGCGAAGGCGGCCAAGACGACTGGCAAAGGCAAGAAGCGCCCGCATGAGGAGGAGGATGACGTTCAGCCTGACCCAGCTGCCAGTGGCAGTCGACCTGCCAGCTCTGTGGACCCTGCGGTTGCTGCAAGGAAGAGCCGGCAATCCCGGAAGTCCTCCGCCTACCACTGCGTGAAAAAGCAGAAGCTCGCGGAGGGTGCCTCGCTTCAGGAAGCTGTCAATGCTGCCAGGGAGGTGCCTTGACAGCAACACAAAGCCGGTGGACACACACACACATATATATATATAATACGTATATACACACACTCATGTGATCACATATGCATACACCTTCCTGCGCGTATGTGTGTGTGCGCGGGCATGCAGCTTCCAAGTTTATCCCAAAAAACACTATGGATCTGCGCTCGTAAGTGGGGATCATTACGATGTTGGAGAGGTTGGTTCTTTGATCCATCAACGAAAACAAAGGGATTATCTTTGTTTCTCAGTTTCACGCAAAACAGCCGAGGCGTATGCCAGAACTTCCTGATCGACGAATCTTGCAATAAGGACGTTTGCAGTTTGTTTCGCGTGCATCAAGCATGCATGGCATCAATCTGATCAAATTATGGGGTTGCAGTCGGCTATGCCGCTGCCTGGGGGCATGGTCAATGGAAAGGTACATAAGCCAATCGTGCTGCACATACCCATGGCCATCGATTTGTAGCGGAGTGTGGAAACATGTGGAAACCGCGTGTTTGTGTAACTCCTGACAAGTGTGACCGCATGCCAGGCGTGCGTGCACGTATTGTTGGGTACATGTGTGATTGTGTGTGTGAGTGTGCATGTGAGTGTGTGGATGGATGTGAGTGTGCGACCACTAAAACCAAATGACCGGTCGATGACAAACAATTCCAACAGCTTTGCAGGGTCCCGTCCCCATCCTCTTGCCAGGCGGAAATGCCCCGTGATGACTTTGAACGATTTGCAGCAAGGGCATCCTCTTCCAGTACAACTGCCATGTTTGCACCACAAACTTCAGCTATATGTGGAGCATGGTGTTGAGTCAGCGTTTGCTGCCCAGCCCGTCACCTTGCCCTGCACTGGTTGTGCATGTGGTGAATCGTAGCCATTTGGTTTTCCTGAGGTGTCGAGCGATGGTGCTTTGCCGGGAGGAATCCCTTGTGATCCTTTTAGCCCAAGTGGGTGCACCCAAGGTGAGGCGCCTAAGTGCCATCCCATCCCATTTACTCTTGCACCGGGGTCCAAGGTGCTGATTGCAACTGAGACTTGGCTCAGGTCAGTGCTTGGTGTTGGGCTATGTTTGTCAATTTTTTGAACGGGTGTCTGAGGTTTTGATGTTGATGTGGACCGAAAATGCGAATGCAAATGCGCTCACCTTCCAATTGGTCGAGTACTTCAGTGGGAAAGGGCGGGTGAGCCGCGTGTTTCGAAAAGCCAAAAAAATGGTGGCCAGCTTCGAACTGAAAACATCTCGGGCTATGGACTTCAATTCGCAGGCCGGCTTTCTGTTTCTGTGGCTGCATTGGCACCTTCCTATTGCTGGAAAACTAGTCGAAACAATTTGTTGCATCTCAGGCTAGCTCTACTTCTGGCAATGAAGTCAGTTCCCGGATGTCTACACCTGTGTGCTCCGGTATGTTCAAGCTGGACAAGAATATCACGAGGGACATCATGGCGCACAGCAATCAATGTATTTGGAGATCTTACTTCAGAATGGGTGGTCGGTGCTAACCTGATGATATCTCGGACTCATGGCTGGTTTTGAGAGACCATATGCGCTGATTTCAAGCGGACCCTTTGAGACCTCATGCTGCCACCTAGGCTCACCCTTCTACTTTTGGTATCCCTCTGCACCCACGCAACCTTCTGTGTGGAGCAACCGAGTGGATCGGCGGACGTGTTTCCATTTCACCCTCGGCTAAGCTGGCTATTTAATCGTGTTGCTTGGGCTTCTCGGTGGCAGTTGTGAGCAAACCCCGAACTCACACCCTCAATTGTGGCCAAGTTTAACCTCGCCCTCTCCCCTTAGGTTCATCGGAACTCATTTTGGATGATGTTGCATGGATCTTCTTCGCCTAAGAGGACCACAATATGGACAAATCGTTATGAACTTGCCGTTGCCCTGGCGGTGGCCTTACCTAAAGTCAACAGCATGTTTGATGCAACCGTGCCATGTTCTTAGGACAAAGGAACGTTGTCAAAAAAGATGAGGGACAAGGCTACCTCGGTGGCTACAACACGCGCCCCAACTAACTTGTTTGCATCCTTCTTGGAGTACAAACATGACTGCCTACAGGCAAATATCAGCGAGCTGATGGCTCCCAGGGATTCACAGCAACACGTTCCTTGAAGGGTACGGAGCCTTTCCCTTAGATCGTGCATTCGTTCAGCCGACCGTCCCACCGCCGCCGAGGCACTACCCATCTGGCCTAGGAAAGTCACTGCTGAAAATCAACGAGAAGATTTGCGTGACTCCTGCTGCATGTCTTCGACAAAAGGTCAGCATCGCAAAGGGGACGTGCGAGATTACGGTGTTTGGCAACATGGGGTTGGGAGACCTCTGGCAAGATGCTCAAATGGAGGAATGCTTTTGGTACGCAGCTTCTAACAAGAATGTGGTCATCCCCCCCGCATGGCAGCCGGTGATCAGTGCCTTCAAAAAAGAACTTCGGGATGTTACTTGGCTTGTTCTGGACTCCAAACAAACCAAGTGTAGTCACTCAGCCAAGGCTTCGCCAACTGCAGAGAAGCCATTCTGGCTTTCGTAATTGACAGTGCTCCTGCACGCTTTCATTCTAGTATTTGGACCCGCTGTGCAAAATTCATCCGGTGAAGGCTTGGGAAGGGGGAAATGGGCTCTGAGGTAAAACTCCCGCAAATCCCCGCAAAGGCCGCAAATCCGGAAAAGTCGTAGTTTCAGTTTGTACGAACGGGCTAGACCCCCCCTTCCCAAGTGATAGACTGCACACAGACCAGATGAGGCTTCTAAAAGGATGAATTCCATTGCAATGGACAGCTCATCGTTGCTGCATGGGCCCACTCAAATGTACAATACAGCTGGCTCAAGGCGAAATGTCGGTTGTTCGGACCTGTGCTACTTTTGAAGAGGGCTTGAAAACAGTAGCTGAGCAAAACATGACCAGCCCACCTGCTGACTTGGACGCCCAAATTGCAGCGCCTTGGAGAATCTAGCCCTTGATGCCTCTGTTCTAACCCTACCCATCCTACCCCTCACATCCACGGCAGTTCGCCCAGGAGGCAAATGCAGCCGTGATGCGATTGCAGCAGGAGCTTGGGATGCAAGCTGGCGGCTCACCTGCGTCCGAAGCCCGAGACTTTTCTGCAGTTTAGTCGGGTGCCACCAGATTTGGATCACTACACGGAAACCCGATCATTGATCATAGTCTACTTTAAGGTGGGCTGTTTCATGAACCTCGCGCTGCAGGGCATTTCGTACCAGGGCATCCGCGTGCTACCACAAAGGAGGCAGAGAAAATGCGTTCTGTTTACCAGGCCCACCAAAAGAACAGGCGAAAGAGGCTAGCTGAGGCTAGCCCGTTGCGCTCAGCCACACAAACTGTGAGCTCAACCGATTCGTACCCTGAGGGACTTGGAAATGGATACGACTTCATGAAATCACCAGAGGTCCCCGCTACTTCACCAGAAGTCCTTGCTGCCCCACCTGCTGAGTCTCTTGTCTCGCCGACCCAAGTCGTGATCTCCCAGGCCCTCCACCCACCTGCCTCTTTGGTGGAACCAGCAGGGGGCACCGATGAACCTGCCAGCTCGAAAGAGCCGATGAACACGGCTTTGACCCTTGCTACCCAGGCCCAGTTGCCCACCGCAACCCAGAGCCAGCAAGTGGAAACGCTAAAGCCTGACCATCCTGACCCAAAGCAAAACGCATATGCTGATGGATCATATTGGAAGTGACTCGCATGCGCGGGATATGTTTTGACCGCTAGCTTTCAATCTTATAAAGTGGATTTGGGGGGGGGGTTCAACTTAGGCTCCGCCGATATTTCACTCCCAACCGATCCGGACACATCGCCGCGAGCAAGGAGGCCCAGGCCCTTTACAAGGATCCCAAAGGCCGACTCTTATCAGCATATGTTTATGTTCCACCTTGATTGTGTTGAACATGTTTGTCAGGAACTGAACTTGTGGAACTCCTTCGTAAGCACGGGGACTTGTCCACCGTCGAGTGCGTTGTGAAGCAATGGTACCAGCAGAAACAAGAACAACGACAAGAAGGAGGGTGGCACTCCAGGATCAGCCTGTCAAACCTTGGGTGGTCGGAGTTCGGGTCTTATCCAACGGACCTTTGTGTGTGTGTGTGGGGTATGTTCGCATGTCCTTCGGTACATGTATGTATGCGTATCATTTGAAATCCCCTCTGGCCGCTAAGGGAGATGATCACAAATGCTTCAACGTGGGCCCGTGCAAGGGGCTTCACGAGGATCAATGAAGTTCACGGATGCGAAGAAATCCGAGTTCCAACTGCCAGCCTCGACACTCATGTTGAGACGTCCGGGCATGAAGCTACAGGCAGCGCGACCATGGACATACAAGACCAAGAAGGGTCAATCCTCCAGTTTGGGATGACCGCTGAGTCAGCCTTGAGGCGGGCTCATATGCGCATACATACGCACGCACAATGTTCAGTTTTAGCTTTTTGCACACACCGTGCCAGGACCGGTGCCACTAGTGCGGCGACCGGCACACATGCAGCATCGGCGCACTCCGCAGCGAACGCAAAGACGCAGTGTCTCCCAATGGTGCAGGAGAATCAGGATCCTTTCAGTTTCTTGTCTTGAGCAAGCATCGTACTTGCAAAAGGGCGGTCACAACGCATTTGGTTTGAAGCGCACGCACGCGCGCGTGCAAAAGTAATTCTGCTCAATTCAGAGCACAAAATGATTTTTGGTCTTGCTTGATTGGTCCACGCATTTCCAGTGCGCCTGGGTATACCGTCTCCAGCATGCAAACGAGGTATGCTGCCTCAGTTCATCGAGTGCGTTGGCAAGAAGCTGGACCGGATGTCGGAGCTTCAGGACCTTCAAGAGTTTTTCCACGCATATCATGCGGCGCGCCGCTGTTTCCTAGCTTCGTGCGTCGGCAGGAGAAACTGCAGGGCTATGGCACTGCTCGGTCCCGGGAGCCACTCCGTTCAAAATGGCCATCCAGGGATTCAAAGATATCATATTCCTGACCCGAGGCTGGTGACCGAAATGGAGAACAAGCGGAAGCAGCACACCGAGCTCTACAACAAGCTGCTGAAGGAGCAGGAGGCCTCATGTGAGCTTACCGAGATCCCTGGTGATTCTTGGCAAATCTTGGCTATCGAATCACTGCATGGGTGGCCACATGTGCGGTTGGTACGCCTAGGACACACAACAGAAACTTCTGAGACAGCTCTATGTTCAGTGCACAAAGTGTGACGTGGCCACGAACAACTTGTTCGCCCGTGGCAGGCAAGGGGATGTGGAATTAAGGGATCGGGGTTCTTGGTTGGGGGCCCATTTGTTGTAGACCTCCATTACTTTGTGCTGGTTGAGGGTGTTTACTTGGGAATCCCGTCAGATATGCACATGCATGAGCGAGTTGACAAAGGGGATTGTGTTCCACTTTGAAAGGGAGCCACATGAATGTTTGAAGCGTCTCATTGTATAGTGCTTGAGGTTGACCCCAGAGACTTTCAAATGTGTTGAGGGGAAACTCCAACAAGTTTCAAGGGAAAACTCCAACAACTTTCAAAATGTGTTGAGGGGAAACTCCAACAACTTTCAGTGTGTTGAGGGGAAGCGCCAACAACTTTCAGAATATGTTGGGGGGAAACTTCAACAACTTTCAAATGTGTTGGGGGGAAACTCCAACAACTTTCTTTAAAATGTGTTGGGGGGAACTCCAACAACTTTCAACAGGTGTTGAGGGGAAACTTGCAAAATTGTTCTCACTTGATACCATAAGATAATCCTAGTTGAGGGTTTCCAAAACAGGTGCTCTCTAATGAGTTTGCGATCCCACAGGTCCCATGCAGTGTTTTTCGGCATCCCAAAACAGAGACGCTTTCGGACCCTCCACAAGTCTCTCATTTTTGGTTCAAATTGTTAATGGTGCTTGCAGGGGTATCAGGGTTATCATGTTGTTGGAGTCGCTTTTGGGTATCCCACAATATCCCGAAAACAACCTGAGAAACCCTCGAGCCTCGCAGGGCTCTCAAGGCGCCTGCGAAGCCAAAGGCGGCGCCGGCAGCGCCGAAGGCGGCACCGGCGCCGAAGCCGAAGGCAGCTGCCCAGCAGGCACCTGCTCGCGGCAAGAAGCGTCGGGCTTCGACCGGTGAAGCGGAGGAGGCTCAGCCCAAAAAAGTGGCAAAACGCCGCAAGGGTAAGAGCTCTTAGGGCCTTTTTTTCGTTTGCGCGAAAAGGCAAGCATTAATCCGGGTGCATCACATATGCAGCCAGGCTGCATATGCTGCAATTAAGCTTTGGGGAACCATCTGGTGCGTGCCCGCTTTAAGTGACCACGAGCCGTTCTCAAGATATGGCTTGTGTTTTGGCGGAGGAGCGAAAATAAGAGATCTCGATTGCATATGTTTGCACATGGAACATTCTTGAAAGCTTTGCTTGCAATATATATGCATGTCTTCCATCGTTTTTCCACAACTTGCCAGGTTTCGATGCTCGACTTGCTCTTGCACCAATGGTGGGTGGAGGCCGGGTGGGGTTGAGACTGTCAGGAAACCGCTGCATGGGAATCATAAGGGCCAACTTGTTTTTCCCCAACAGAAGTCTGATGGTTTTCGGGGTATATTGTTTTCCCGTGCGACTTTGGCATATCCATTGGGGTATGTAAGGTGGCCCTGGCAGGGATCTTTGACCTTGTCAGGCCATTTCCTGAACGTGGAGGATGAGCAAAGGGTGATTCAAAATAGCTCTGAACATGCTGATGAAATTCTTCTGGATTACTTTCGGGGAGCACCTTGTTTGCAAAATCAGAGAAATCTCAAAAACCGCATGGAGCTTGTTCATAGGCGGAATCAGCTGAAAGATCTTCCCGAATGGCACGGAGAGCTTGTTCGCTGAGGGGGGGCCGCCTCTAGGCTTTGCATTAAGAGCATGTCAAGCATCATCAAGCTGGAACAAGGTTAACACAACCAAACGCGTGTCTGAGGGCGGGATGACCTTTTGGCTGCAATTGCAAGGGCAAGTATTTCCAAAGCCAACGCTGCTAGAAACCTGAGATCCGTCATTACGAAGCATGGTGTTTCGCTCCCCGTCGAGATTGACCTGGTCAAGGTAACAATCAGGCTTCACAAGCCGCGACTCAGAGATGTCAAAGTACAATGGCCAGTTTTGAATATGCGAAGCTGGATGGAGGTTTTGATTTCAAGAGCTCCTCAAGTGCTTTTGGGGGGCTTTGCGCTGGAACAGGACAAGAGTGGCGCGCAGCATTTACAGATTTCTGGCGCTTGTACCGAGAATACGATGCCAACCACCCGGTCTTCCAAGAGCAACATGACATGTCAGTCCGGCTGCCGGTGTTCTGTCATGGCGACGAGGGGCGTGGATTACGTCGTGTGCCATTTATGGTGGAAGTATGGCAGCCGGTCTTGTCCCACAAAGGTGCTAATTGCACAAACATGAGTGGGTATCCTTGGCAGCAAATTCAGTCAACGCAATAGCGCACAAACAATGAGCAAGCTCAATGAAATCAAAGTTGCCGAGGCATACATTTTGTTCTCGCCTACTCTTCACTTGCATTAGCAGCAAACTCTTTGCGGGTGACCTGACGCTACGACAAATCAACCGCGCATGGGCAGAACAAATGATTTCTCTTTCCCAGGATGGTGTGCCGGCTGGAATCTGGAATGCAACTTCATCACAATGTACTTTGGTCAAACATTCAGTTTGCAGGTTTCGGCCAACACCAAGCTGTTCCTGACATTCTTGGGAGGTAAAGGAGATTGGCCTTATCTTCGTAAGGCCCGCTTTCAGAATCTGCATGGGCGCCCAACCCACGCCCGCTCCCAGGCCTGGGGACTCCGCGGAGGCTTTTCCGGCAAGAAGGTTTGCCACGTCTGCAGCGGCGAGGCGGGAAAAGGGCAAGCTGGGAAAAGGGTGGGAAACGGCGATTTGGGAGGGCTTACTATCAAAATAGCTGATTCAAAGCGTCCTGATCCTAAGCCCTTTCTTATGGTCCCCCATATTCACAACAACTTTGATGGCCTAATCTTGCAAATTACAAATGGCTCCAAACCATGCAGTAGATATATACACGGGTTCCGGCTACTGCTGTCGGCAAATCCCTGCTGAGAACTGGCATGATTTCAGTGAAGATGCTCCATGGCGGCATGAGCGACCAAATCCATCGCCCTTCAAAGAGGACGGCAATCCGTTTCATAAAGTTCCTGGAGCGGACGACGCCCTGCGAGTTCTGCCAGATGTGATGCACACATATCACATCGGATTCGGCGTCGACTTTTGCGCGTCCATCATCATGTGGCTGGCCAATCTTGGCCACTTCGGCCATAAAGGCAAAATCGACGACTGGTTGCGTGAGGCGCACTCTAGGTTTATGCAGTGGTGCGCGGCCAATGGCAAGTATTCAGCTTGCACGGAGTGGTCACGAAGAACGTTCCACATGAAGTCGAAACTTGTGCCAAATTCAGGCGCGGCATGCAAAGCGCACGACACGGGGGTCGTGACAGCGTGGCTTGAGCATGTCCTTCGCGGCATAGCGCCTTTCCAGCAACTAGCACGCACGAGCTCGTATAAACAACATATATCACACGCGTGTTGCGTCGCGCGCTCGCAGGCACCAGACAATGGCATCATCGACACCATGCGGTACACCGTCTCTCAGTGCAACGTCTTTTTTCGCACCCTGCACAAGCACGGGAACTTCATCCCACCGGCTGACAAGGACAAAGCGATGTGTGCGGGCAACGATGTTTGCGTGTCTTGTCGGCACTCTGTTTGGCTTCAATGTCTTTATAATCACATTTGCTCGCTCCCAGGTCGGATATGCAAACTTAGCGTTTGCAAGCTGGACCCAATACATGAATCTTTTTCGGCTACGACCGAAACTCCATATGTACCAGGAAATAGTTTTGGCCATGGACAGAGCACCAACATGCTTGAGTCCTATTGCTTCCAGTTGCTGGGCTGATGAAGATTTCATCGGTCGCTGCAGCAGAGTTTCTAGAGCTTCTCACAGCAACGGGTTGGCAATGTCGTTTGACACATTGAGGAAATGCCTCGGATGTTACACCAACCAGCTTAAGCAAGAGTTTGCGTAGGGAAAAAAAAGTCGGGCCCACGGCCCGCCTCACGAGCTTCAGGAAGTAGAGCTTGGCGGCAGCGCTTGCACGTGTGTGTCTGTTTGTGTGTGTGCGCGCGTGCTCCCCAGTCAAGCCACACCTGAAAACCTAATCATTCGTATGGGTTTTGAGGGAAACCGTACCCAAACGCTGAGAATTCGGTGATTCGTAGTGGTCTCCTGAAACTGCTGAAAATTTCCCGGAGTTTGAGGGTGCAGGCAGGAAAACAGACACGCGCCTTGTTGCCGTCTCACCCGCTATGTTTCTCCCCATCGGCCAAGTGCCTCTAGGAGCCGAAGCGTCGAGTTTTAAGGCTTCCCGGTTTGACCGGACGAGCTCGCCCGCGTTTGAAAACAATTCCCTAGCTGGGTGGTTCGAAAAGACCGTGTTTTTCGCGCGGAGTGTGCCCCAAGCCCACTGTGCCCCCAGCGTTGAGCCCAATGTGCGCCGGGTTGAGCCCGATGTGCCCCCAGCGTTGAGCCCCCTCTAACCCGAAGCCTCAATTCCTCTGCGCAGCGCGCCGTTTTGCGCCCCGCGCGCGGCCGCGCAGCCTCTAGGAGCCGAGGCGTCGAGTTGTGAGGCTTTCCGATTTCTAACTCGCGCCGACCGGACGAGCCCGCCCGTGCTTGAAAACAAATCCCTAGCTGGGTTTAGGTTCGAAAAGCCCGTTTTGTTGTTTTTTTCGCGCTGAGTGTGCCCCGTGGGTGGAGCCCAATGTGCCCCCAGCGGTGAGCCCAATGTGCACCGGGTGCGACCGCGCAGCCTCGAGAAGCCGAAGCGTCGAGTTTTGAGGCTTCCCAATTTCCACATCGCGCCGACCGGACGAGCCCGCCCGTGTTTGAAAACAAAATCCCAATTTGATGACGTTCCACTAAACGTAGTCTTCGGGGAGCCGGTGTTGCAAAACAGGGGTCCCAGGCTCGATTCCCCCTGCCGGCTCTTTGCTGGTTTGGGATTCCTGCCTCCTTTTGCCGAAAATCTGGAAAACTCTGTGTTTTGGACGTCCTAATTGCGAAAACGCTGGAAAAGCCGTGTTTTTTGCGGGAAACATTGGGGAGCAAAGGGGAAATGCAAGGAAGTGCACGGAAATGAGGGGAGGAAATAGGAAGTCGACATGACAGGAAAGCAGCGGGACATGACAGGGAAACAAAGGGGAACTGAAAGGGACATGCAAGGGACAGCAATGAAAACAAGGGGAGTGCAGGGGGAATGAAAGGGAAACAAAGCACAAGGAAACCAATCGGCACGACGGGAGATGTAGGGATACGACTCGCAACAAAAGAACGGGACATACATGGAAAATGAAGCGGACATACCGAGAAAACGTCAGGGACATGAAGGGGGAGTTGAAAGGCATGGAAGGGACAGGACCAGGACATCATGGGAAACGTGAAAAGGACATGAAGGGGAAATCAAGGGGAAAGCCAGTAGTGAGATGACAGCTCAGGGTCATGCAGGGGCAGTGCCAGGACATCGAGGCAACTCAGGGGGGACGTGACGCTGCAATGCAGAGAGAGAGAGAGAGAGAGACAGGGACAGAGCGGGAGAGAGAGAGGGAGAGAGAGAGAGTGAGCAAGACACAGAGAGTGAGAGAGGGAGAGAGACAGAGGCAGAGCCAGGGACAGAGCCAGAATCAGAGAAACAGAGAAAGAGCAGACAGAGAGAGAGAGACAGAGAGAGAGAGAGAAAGAGAGAGACTGAGAAAGAGAGACACAGAAAGACAGAGAGAGAGAGAGAGAGAGAGAGAGAGCGATGAAGTGAGAGAGTAGAGAGGTTCGAATTAGGGTACCCTTTTTCTGTAGAGGGGCGTGGACAGGAGGCCGGCGCAAGTCATAAGCCGAACGTGGAGACACTGGGCCTGCTGGTTGGACGTTCGGAAAGCATGTTGGGTTGGGAAACACGTGCGTGTTTTCCCGGAAAAAAGACCCAAGTACATACACCTCATACTTCGTTTTGCTCAACATATCGGTTGGTGCCCCAGATTGAAGACAAGGTATCAAAACCAAAGCCGACCTGACCAAATTTCGACCCGGGAAATCAATCTGTCCAGCTCTCCAAAAAAGACACGCCCATATACCTCCATTTGCTGGAAAGAAACACATATGCCCAATAGTGATACATGCCCTTCGCAACCAACAGGTTGACATTAAATATTCATTTCAGCAAATGGAAGTATGGGAGGCTCCAACTACCTTACCAGCCTAGCACCTGGGCTTTCAGAACCCCTCCTCCGGGGCCGCGCTAAGGCTGAGCCATTGCAGCGCACCCTTCGGGCTGTCCGGCCACAGGCGGAACTCTGCGCCACTCTTCGGGCGCAAGAAGACGCGCGGCTTCTCCTGGCCTGGCCGAGAGAAGAAGTCTCAAAAGCAGCCGGGACCCGATCGCTTGGCTTCCAAACCCGAGAAAAAACCTGGAAGACTGGTCAGGTTGACAGGTTTCAGGTAGGTCGAATTAAAAGGGTCGCATTCGTCAAGCACGCCAAAATCGGATTTGCGCCGTTTGGGACGTTGCCTTGGTGTTGCCCATGGCGACTTCCAGAAAGAAGGGACTCCGAGCAGGTCAGTTCAACCAGGTTCCGCACTAGGAGCAAATAAACGAGACAAACCCTTTCTGCCATTGCCCTCATATGCACGTCATTTTCCCCACAGATCCGCGGTCGATGCTTGCACTGTCATCATAGCAAGGCCGCCATTTGCCTAACAAATTTGCGGTCAAGTCTTTTTTTGGGCTGTCAAAACTTGGCTCGACGTCCCTCCCGCATGGACGTCCAAGGGGTCCAGCTTTTAGCATAAGGTCCATACACCGCTGGAAGACCGCCAACACAAGAACGGGACTGGCCGCCAGAGTCAAAGCCAAAAGCAAACAAGTCAAATTGTAGAGACTCCTGTTGGTCTTCCTTTAAACCCAGCCTTTTCGAAGATTTGCTTGTGGGCAAACAGTCGTTCTGCCTTCGGCGACCCTTTTGGATCGCACCCATTGAACTCAGCAAATGGCCATGGGTCAAAACCCAAATCGTACCCCAGTGAACATCCCAATCACTAAAATAGGTTCTAAAATGGGTGGTGAATTCACCTATCCCAAAATGGGATCCCATTGGTTTTGAACCACAGCCGTTTCCGCCCCTGCTCGATTTTCCTGATTGGGGAACAACCTCCCTTATTATCTGACAGCTTGATGAATCCGAAAATGGCCAAATCAGCCAGGCACGCCGTGAATCCCCCGGGTGCGTGTTGTTCAACCCCCGTCGGCCCGACGATGGCCGAAGTCCCCGCCTTCCACAGGCTCCAGGGAGATATGGCCCACAAAGCGCGGTCGCTGGTTCTGCCAGACCTGGCGGAACTCTTTGACGTGGGAGCAAAAATTATCGAGAAGTTTGGCAGTTCAGTGGATTTGGAGTTCAACCACTCAAAACCACAACAAGCAAAACTGTGTCAAATGTTTCACAACAACAACCATGAACTGGATGGGAAAAAAAGGAAACCGATGGCGATGGCCTTTTTGCCTACTGATGGGCAAAATCCTGCACTCGCACCACTTGAAAACCGTGGTTGAAACCATCGGTCGTTGGTATTTGTAGGGGAAGCATCATTTCAAGGTTTCTTAGGTGGTGCAGGATTTCGTCCATCCACAGTATCAAGGCATCCAACGTGGCTTATCCTTGACTGACCCTTGGAACTTGCAGGCTTAGGGATAGGCCCCCTGGGTTCGTGACAGAAGGAAGCGGGTTGTTCTGGGGGCCGTTCAAAAGACAAAGGAACGAAGGAACGGATCATTCGGAGAACATGCGTCGAAGGGCAATTGATCTGCAATGTGTCACCCTTCTAAAACGGGATACGCATATATATATATATATATATATATATATATGGTACCCCCCCCCCCAAACCCACCTGTTTGCAGTCTTCACTGGTATTTGCGGTGAATTTAGCCTTTTGTGATATGTATATATATATATATAGCGGAGCCTTATCCAAGCCCATGGTCGCTTGGCGTCAACACCAAAGTCTTGAACTCCACTGCGGCTTTCGGCGGGCCTTTGCCTGAGCAAAGAAACGTACCAAGGGACGTTCGAGAGGTGGTAATGTTGGCCCAGGATTCAGCAGAACCCCGGTTTCTTCATATGGCTGCGGCAACCAAAAAACCCGGAAGTCCAAAATGGAACGGTTGCCCGATCGGGAAGTGGAAACGTGGTTGCCAAAACCTGCGGTTTGCCCCTCCGATCGTTTAATTTTGAGAACCACACCCAGGTGGGGGTGCTTTTCCCTGGTTTTAGTAGGGAATTTTGTCACTTTTGGAGGGGAACACCCCCCATGTTAATAAACAGGGGTGTATGAATCCGGGGTCAGCATTACCAAATAAGTTTCAAGATCATGGCACGGGCTCAAAGCATCCATCAGCCTGAGCTCGGCCTTCGCCAAAGGAGTCCTTGCTAATTTCTCTGTCGAATTAGAAATCAGATGTGAACTCGGTTTAAGACGAGAATTGAATAAATATGCAGTTGAATTTTGATAGAACTAAAGAAGGACAGAATTGACTCGGGTGTCTATATTGATTTAGAAACTCAAGTAGGACTTCCTCTGATTGAAGTTGATTAATTGCAATATAAATTGAAATTGAGAGTCGTCGATGTCGAATCTTTGTGGCCGTTTGGAGTTCCAACGTGGGTCTCTGTCTTTGTTAAGTACCCTGTTGTTTCTTCAAGGGACACCCAGGGACCGCCACTTTTGGATCTGAGCCAGACTTCACCCAAGTTTGCGTGAAGATCCAAGAGAAGCCTAGAGTTCTAGGGGTACCTCCCCCATTCTTTCCAGGGTTCTTTCTAGAAACCCTCCAGATTCCCGGGCGAAACGGCTGATTCTCGAAAAGAACCATGGTTGGAAAGAATGGACAAGGAATCAACCCCTAGAAAAAATCGAACAACCGGGAAGTGTGTTCGGGATAAAAACTCCGATGGATTTGGTGGGTTGGGCATTTTTGCCAGCTTCTTTTTATCTAGCCCTAGAAGAGTTCGACCAATCGGCGCCCCGTCAGCCGAAGGCCTCGAGTCGGCAGATGCTTGCCGGCTGCACCCGGAGCGGCCCACACCTGCGACGAGACGTCAAAAACGAGCCACAAAAATACGCGACGAGAGAGAGAGGGCCCGACGTGGAAAACGAGTTCCAAAAACACTCCAAGAGGTGTCCAGGTACGGCTTTCTGAGAGGCCCAGCCAATTGAAATGAAGGTGTGCTCTTGTTTTTACACTTGTTTTGACATTTGGAGGTGCAGTTGTAGGGACATGTTGAAGCTATTTACATCTGGTGGTGGGTTTAGACTGTCTTGTTCATGACAAAAGGGTGCCTTTCTACATCTGGTTTTGGGTTTAGGATTTTCTCATGAAGATGGGTACCGTTTCGGGGTGGAAAGGGGGCAGTGGGGGGGACTGGACATGTCAAAAAAGGATAAACAAAGAAAATGCAACTGTTCAACAAAAATGCAAAAACAAAGTAAACAAACATGAAATCAACGTAGAAACATGATTGAAACAACTCGAGAGAAATTGCAAAATCGCCCAGAGCACCTGTCAACGCCTGACTGCCTGTCTGGGGGGTCGGGCCCCTGGCCCGAATTTAGAATATGTAAATGTAAACCGAAGCGCAGACCCCAGATCTAGGGCCAAAGTAAGGGCACAAGGAGGGCAAGGACGATCGGAGAGTTTTGGGAGACGGCCATCCTCTGTAAAGGCCCAAACGTCCACTTCCGTGACTGCAAGTGTGTGTTTTTGGAGGGTACCTTGTTCAGCTTGGCTGAAAGGGAGACCGAAAGGAAAATCAGTCCATTGCATGGCGCGCCGCTGTTGCAAAAATTGTCAAACATCTGTTGTTAAAACACCCTCCTTGGGCTCCCTTCTGAATACACAACTTCCTTGGTAGCTATCTTTGCCGCTGGGACAAAACGCGGCTGTAGCAAAAGAATCCGGGACGCGTTCACTGGGTCTCAGATCCCCTGCCAAAGGCTTAACCATCAGCCACCCCAACCAAAAAACGACGACCCTCCCTTCCAACGTGGCACCTCAGGGTGGAAGATTGGCTTCCTCTTCAAAAAACCAGAGGTGTCTGGTGCCATGTTAGCTGGGGAGGCTTTTAAGCCTCAGTTGAACCGGACGGCTGGGGTGCCGAGTAAGATGGGACATGTTCACAGCACCCACGCCTGGCGCTGAGCCACTCGCCGCAGAGCGGCTGCAGCAGCGCATGGGATTTCATCCGGCCGGACACCCCGCGGAGATGTCACGCGAATGTCTCGAAAGACGAGACCATCGAAGAAATCTATGTGGTGCGGCTGATCGCCGTCAGGCAGAAAACTGGTTTCTCTTTCTCTTTCTCTTTCTCTTTCTCTCTCTCTCTCTCTCTCGCGCGCATGCAGGAAGATGCCCTACAAATATGCGATTCTGGCCACACGCTCCCAACCCGTTTCTTGTCCAGCAACTGCACGAATTCTTATGATTCACCTACCCGGAATTCAGAGATTCCTAGAGGGATCTTCATCTGGGTGAGCTCCTTTTTATCCCGCAGGGCTTGCTGTGCAGAAGCCTTCCATGTCTTCCCAGACAGACAGCCTACGTGGACAAAGGCCCTGCTCTCTGCCCGGTCTAAGCTGAGGTGCGAGCGGTTCGGAAGTCGGAAGTGAGCGGCAAGCGCTTCAGATGGAGTTCTAAAACCCCTAAGAGGTTGATGACCATCCAAACCCCAAGTGAAGGGGTCGCTTGGCTATGGCAAAAAACACAAACTGGAAACAAACAGAAACTACATAAAGTTCCATTGGTTGTGGCTAGCTTGCTTGCAATATTTGGAATTTGAAGCGTGAGAACCACCCAGCGTGAAAGCTGACGGGAGGACCCAGCCAAGCCGCTTGGCCACAAGCCATTGTCCGTGCTGTACCCCATGACTTCACTGGCGAAGGGATTCCCAAAGGGCTTTTTTCCAGAGTACCAGGCATTCACTTGGAGAACCCAATGAGGGTCCTAGCGAATCAATGGTGTTGACCCATTCAATTATGGGGGTGTTCCCTCCAAAAGTGGTCTGAATCCCCACTAAAAGGGGACACCCCCAATAATCAACCAGGGGTTTATTAATCCGGGGGTTCCATTATATACGCCGACATTGTTGCACACACGTGACCAAGTGGGGTGGAAAACCCACGTCAGGGCAATCCCTGGGTTTGTAAGTAAACCCCCACGGATGTGTCTCAAAACAGGCCCGAAAAGATGGTTTGGTTTCCCTTTAGCTCCCAATCAAACACCCGGACACCACCATGTTGCGAAACCCCCAAATCGCCAAAATATCCGGGAGGTGATCTTCCAAGATCCAGGGTCATTCGTCATTTGCCCTCTTTTCTGACCGGTCTAAATATGCTCCCCGTAAAGGAGCGGGGAAAACTATATTCTTTGGAGTCCCCAGGTGTTCGGACATTTACTCCCCCACAAAGAGAGGAACCTGCGCAGGGGTTCCCTGAAAATAAGGAACATGGTCTTCCGGGAACCCCTATGCAGGCTCCATGTTTGCTTTTGGGAGGCTGTGAGTCCCCCTTCACCTTTTGGAACCTTGACCACGGACCAAAACCAGAAAACCAAAAGCTCAAAAGGTGGACTCGCATTGGGCAACTGAATGTCCCCCTCGCTTTGATCCGGACCGTACCAATTAGGAGTGGTTCCCTTTTTGTTCAGAGGTTGACCATAGCACGTCAGAATAGGGGGACTCCCAAAACGAGCTCGTTAAATGCTAATCACCGACTGGAGAGTTCCACTGCATCATCCCCCCGAGCTCTCGTCGACTCTCGTCACTCGAGTCGAGCCCACATCATGGACCCCTAAGAAATGGGGAGCGGGGGCTTTCCCTTATCAACCCTTGCTTCCATTTGCTTAAGTCCCCTGGAAAAATTATGTCCGGAAGTGATAGATTCCTTTTAAAACCAACAGGGAAAAACTAAAGATTGTCTTAAGCAAATGGAAGCTTAACAAGGCCTTATAAACGGCTTATCCTGGCTTTATCCTGAACACCTCCCCAAAGGCCATGCCCCCACGCCCGCCTTTTCTGCGCGCGTGCTCGTACTTCTCGCGGAGGCGGTCCGCCACGTCCTCCGTCTCCTTCCGGGCGTGGTCCAGCCATTCCTCCGAAAAGTTTTCCGGGAGGTCCGACGAAAGACAAGGGGCTTAGGGGGTTAGGGGGCTTAGGGGGCTTAGGGGGTTTAGGAGGTTTAGGCGGTTGAGGGGGTGTTGGGGGTTTCGGGGCTTGGATTTTAGAACCTCAAGGTGGGGCGGGGGGGGGGGGGGCCCCCCCAATTCCCCAATTCCATTTATTGAGTATTCCCCAAAGAGAAAACGGGGTGCCGTACATGGCGATCTCCAGTGGTCGAGACCCCCCGGCCCCCAATTCCATCTTGAACGGGGTAAAGATAGGGACAAAGATACTCAAACGACACCGATGTTATTTTCAACCTGGGGGATCTGTCACCTGTCAAAAGGGGCAGGTGAAATATGGGTCCACATTCAGACAAGTCAAACCTGACTTCGGGAGTTTGACAGATGCTTCAGTGTTGCAATATTTGTTCACTTGCTTTTAAAGGGGCATCCGGAGAGCTTCAGTTTTGCTCAACAGACTGTTTTCACAGGTAACCATCTGCTGAAGGTATATAGCGACCATTTGCTTAAGGTAAACACCTCCTTGGTTGTACAAGGAACATGACCATCATCTTGCGTGGTGGCACACTGAGCAGTGCCCCCAACCCCAGGGCCGGCCACTTCCGTAGGTGGTCCATTTCTACCGGGTCTGGGTATGGTAAGCCAAGGAAAAATGCATGCACAACATCTTAGAGCCACAAATCCATGGGTGTTGGGCGCTGCACATATGGGTGCTGGTTCACATGGTCTAAACATGTGACCATGGGTAAAGGGAATTTAACCAACATGAAGCCGCAAGACAGCGGCTAAGAAACTCCAAACTCTGAAAATGACAAGGTCTAAGGGTATGGCTGAGAACCGCCAAGGGAACCGGTCAAAGCTACAGCATTCCCACGGCGAACATCGATTCTGGATCTGTCATTTGCTGAGGCAAACCACTGGCACCGGTCCTGAAGGAGCCTTCATCGAGCGGATGGGAAGCCCCCCAAAAAAGTAGCCAAACTCTTCGCTGTCCGCTAAAAAACGATCCAGGCCCAGGACTGAAGTCCAGGGACTTGAGGGAGTCAGTCTCTTCCCCCCCCCCGCTCACACGAAGAGCAACCAAAAAAACCGATTGATCGCCAAGCATCCTTCAGGTACGGGTTGCCTTGCTTCTGCGCGTGTCGGAGCCACTCCTCCCTCATACGCTTCCTGAAATCCTCCACCTGAGCCGTCAAGCTATGCCGTCGCTTCCCGGCAGTTCGGCGAATCGACTCGAATGGCCGTGGCTGGCAAAAATATGGAGTTCCAAAAGTAGACTACCCTTGTTGAATGAAGTTTGGGACTCGGTGGACTCCATATTTGACTCCACAATTAGGGACTCCATATTTAGTCCTTGTTGAATGAAACCAAGGACTAAACTGAATGAAACAAGGACTAAACGCTGCGCTTTGTCCTGGCTCTGAAAATCTTGAGCAGATCCTCGATTTCAAACATGAAAGCAACTCCGCGCGATTTTCCAACTTCATGGCAATGTAGGTGTGTATTTGTTGGGATGGCAGGTCTTAAAGGAACACCAAAAGGACAGCACCACCCATTTTAGTGGGTCCGACTCCTGAAAACCCACGTCTTCTCTGGAGCCAACTTTAGGGGCTGCTTTGTAACCAACGGGAAGCCGGCATTCGAGGCGTTGATGACCATGAAGCTCTACAATGTTGCCGGTTCTGTTAATACGGTCCAACCAAGATGATTCCCGACATGTTACTCCTATCACAACCTCATTTGGTTTTGAAGCCCCCCCCCCCCCCAACCCCCATTCTAACTATGCTAGGCCCTTATACCTCTTCAGGCTCATTTGACTTCACTTGGTTTGGTTTGTTCCACATTTCATCCGGTGTCAACAAGTTCAAGACGACCTGTAGTCAGAAAATTGTTCATCCCCAGGTAATGTTGACCCCCTATAAATCAACCCCAGTTTACTAATAGGAGGGTGTTCCAAAAGTCCAAAAGTGAACAATCCCACTCCCAAAAATATATACACAGCCCCTGCTTATTGATCGGGGGTGTTCATAAAAGGACCGGCAGAGCTCGCGTTTCGCGAATTCGCTGGCCTGGTGGAACCACCAGGGATGTTCTCCCTGCTGCTCACCTCAGTCGACTTCCGAGTCGAGAGCCGAGCGGGACAAACAAACATCTAGGGGCCCCTTGCAAATCAAGGGACGTCGATCGGCATGGGTTCTTCCCATTCCCTTGGGCTACACAGAGAAGCATGTGTTCTGACTCGGTTCTAGGGGCTTTCTTTCCCAGTGGAGGTGACGGCCCCAAAATTTTAATGGAAAACCAGCATGTTCAAAGGACAACCACATATTTTCTTCAAGGGAAACCATTTAGGGGTACCTTCCCCAAGAAAAAAACGGCCTCATGTGGTTCCACCACTTTGGGGTCCCAGCTTGATTCCTGCAAGTTCGTGTCCAATTTGAGCAAGGGCGACCTTCCAGCTCCCATTCTGAACCAAGGGATCCGGATCTTTCTTGAAAACCTCCAGAAACCCGGGTAAAACGGCGATCGGTTCTTGAAAAGAACGATGGTGGAAAAGAATCAACCCCTAGAAAAAAATCGAGCAACCGGGAAGTGTGTTCCGGAAAGAAAAAAAACTCCGGGTGAATTTGGTGGGTTCGGCATGTTGCGAGCTTGTTTTTTCGGATGTTCCGCTCCGGTGGATCTGGTTCTCTTGGTAGTGACGGGTATTGGGTGAACTTCCCGAACACTCATTTGGATGTGGGTCAAAACCAATGGGATCCCGGGGTAGGTGAATTCACCACCCATTTTAGAACCTATTTTAATGGGGATTGGGATGTTCACTGGGGGCACGATTTGGATCTTGACCCATGGCCATTTGGAGTGAGTCGTTGAGTTAAAAGTGGACCACCCCTCGCAAGAAAAGCAAGAAACAAGTGACAGCACAAGAAGTCTGCGGGTTCATCCGGCCCTCTAAAAAAAGACTCGATCAAAACGAAGTCCGCAAAAGGAAGTTCGATGTACCCCAAAAGAGCCAAAACCGGACCTTTCCCAACTCCCATTTCGTTTCTTGATTTTGTTCTGCCCATTCTTCCAGCTGGAACCCCAGACTCGCTCGAGCCCATGGCGCCCTTTGAGGGCCTTTGGGCGGAACTCCTTGCTCGGCGATCGGTCTGCGAAGGTGGCCTTTGAGATCCTGTTCTGGGCCCGTTTTCGGATCCCCCGCTAAGGGTGACGAACTTTCAGTGGGGTAGATGGAAACTAGCACTAAACACCAAAAAGCAAAAGGCTGAGGTTTTTGGAATGGCTGGGAGCCACCAAGTTTTGAAAGAATCCCCTCAGTTATTGCTTCTTGCTTCGGCCCTTTCTGCAAAACATGCGGTGAGCTCATCAAGCCGGGTGTTCAGGCCTAAACCTTTGGAAGCCCAGTTGCTCCGAAGGGAAAACATGCTGGGGAAGCATTGGAAACCGAATTTTGCGGTTGATCCATATTCCTGGCCCACAAAAAACGACGGGCAACTTTCCCATTTGGGGAGACATCCGCTTTTTGGTGTTCGCCGGTGCTCATCCCATGAGCTTCCCCTCCCATCACGAGCCAAAGGCACCATGCAGCTTGCGCTTCAGATACTCCGCCTCCTGCTTCAAAGCCTCCGCCCGCTCCTCGGCCTACCAGATTTCTATTCTCGATTCGCGGCTGTTGTGTGTGGCCGAAGTTGAGGATGCTTCGGGGTTTGATGCCTGGTGGGATATCTGCTTCTAAGGACGGTGTCCACGACCCCCAAACCGCCCAATTCCAAGGGCTTAATGAGCGGATGGGCACACCCCACCACCCGGGATGTAAAACCTTCGGAGCCCTGAGAAAGGCGATGACTTCTGGGTACCTGGTGTTGGTCCGAGGTCCTCCAGAAAACTGAGGGGTTAGAAGAAGTTGGTACCCGACTTCTTCTTCTTTTTTCGGCTTGGTCTTTTTGAGTAGGGGCCTGCCCTCCCCAAAAAAGAAAAAAATGGGCACTACTGGGGGACCTTGGGTCTGTTTTAAAGGGAAACCAAAAGGAAAGCCGAAGCCATTTTGGGGGGGTCCCCTAAAACACCCACGTCATCTGGTTCAGCATTTCGTCCATCAGTAGGCACCTGCTAAAGACAAAGTCTGCAATCAACTGCACCATCCCTATCCCAAGTAATAGTACCCTCCCCCGCGATTTGTCATTGGCAAGCACTGGGACCCTTTTAAGAACGAGGAGAAGGGCTGGTTGCCTATTTAGGCAAAGCAAACTCGATTTTTCTGACCAAGAGATCCCGTGATGCTGGAGGACCCCAAACTCCTGACGTTTTCCCCTGGCGTTAACATCAGCTTTCGCTGACCGCTGCTTCGGAATGGATCTTGACTTTTGGGGCCCGACGGAAAAGTGTCCAAAATGGAACCTCAAGATAAAAAGCCCAGGGGGTATCCCCAACAGCCCCACGGTTCCCGGAACCCTGGAACCCAAACCAAAAAAGCCGCCCCCAACCACCCCAGAGCCGATCTGGGCAGAGACCCCAGAGCTTTCAGCCGGGGAAAAAAGGTTGGACGGAGTGGAGGATCCCCACGGAGCTTGAGAGCAGTGAGAGCGTTCCCTTGGCTCTACTGGATGTCTGTAACTGTTTGAGGGTATGTTTTGGGGGCTGGAGGGGACCGTTACGTAGGCGTTTCCTTTTTTGGGGCGCCCCCAAAAAAGGTGGGTCTCTTCTTGGCGTGCCTTTAAAACCCCACAAAAAGGTGGCACCAACTCCAAAAAGCCGACGCTCCCACATTGAAGGATCCCCATCCCCAAAAAAAGGGGTCGTGTTTGCCTCCCTCGCCGCGTCGCGAGCGCCGCGACTCGCTCGGGCGCGCCTCCTGTCGGATCTGTTGGCTCTCCTGAGGTCAAGAGCTCTGTCGCGAGCGCAATCAAAGTGGGGCGGGGGGGGGGGGGTCCGTTCGGCGTAATTTGGCCTTGTCTTAAACCAAAGGGACCAACAAATGGTGATCTTCCAAAAAAAAAAAAACGACAAAAAATGGAGTAAAAAAGAACACCCCTTGAGCTTTCCCCCAAAATGGACCCGCGCTTTAAAAAAGAAAGGTGCATCAATGCCATTGATACCTGGAGCTTCAGGCGCTTGCCGAACCCAACGAAAAACCCCGCAGGTTGTCCTCAGGGGTCCAGCCCATGTTTCGGGAGTCCCAAAAAGTGAAGAAATCAACCAAAGGTTTTTTGGATCCCCTAAATACAAGGGTCATAAAAATGAACAAATCAGATAATCAACCGGATGCTTGTTGAATGAACCAACGGATACTTGGGCATTAGGGGAATACGGGTGTGTCTCCTTTTTGGGGTCCCTTCAATCAGCAACAAGGTGGGTGCCCACAAAACAAGACACGCCACCGAGAATCCGAACAACTGGGTCAGGGAAAAAACACGCTTGAGAACCAAGCAATTGGAAGGGAGGGAGGCGGCCCAAAACTGGCCGGGTCCACCGGAAAACGGCCGGGACAAGCACCCGTGTATTGAAGCCAAAAAGAAGATGGTCGGGTACGTTTCAAAGGCACGCCAAAAGGAGAATGTGGTGGCGTCAAAGGGAAGCCCAAAGCGGACGGTTGATATCTTGCTGGGAAAAAAACAAAGGGATAATGTGGATATCATTGTTTTCAAGGAAAGACAAACGGCGAATGTTGGGAAGTGCGTGTAATGTTGACCCCATACTAATCAACCCCAGTTTATTCATAGGGGAGTTGCTTCTCCCCGAGTTGAGTGGTTGCAATCAGACCCCTTTTGGAGGGGAGCACCTATTAGTCAACGGGTAGGCTGATTCATCGGTCAACACTATCCTAGGTCCTCCAGTCGAAAGGTTAGAATAAGTTGGTACCCGAACTTTTTTCTGTGGTCTATTTCGTAGGGGAACCCTTTTAACCAAAAAAGGGGTGAGAAAGGGCACCTAGCTGGGGGACCTACTGTGGATGGACGGAATCCTGCACCAGCTAAGAGGCCCTGGAGAGATGATTCCCCTGTAAATACCAACAAACTGTGGTTTCCCCATGGTTTCCAACTGGTGCGAAATGGATTTTGTCCATCCACAGTATCTGCAGAGCCGACGGTTTTCCGAAGAGAAGCTGTCGGAGCCGATCTCGAGATCTCGATCCGAGGTGCCGCCAACTCGGCCCGGAGCTTCTCGTGCTTTTGCTTCCAGTCGGCATTCTCTGCCCTCCTGGAGAAAAAAACACTGCGAAATCCGGTAGAAAAGAAATGCCTTACTTTGGGTGTTGGGCCAACTTAAGTTGTGGGTAATCTGGGTTGTAACAACCTTAGCCTCCTTAAGTGGGGTCAGCCCAGTCATTGGGTTATATCCCAGGTGGCGAACCACTAACTTGTCCGAACATCCAAGTACTCTCCGGCCAACATGGAAGCTGAAAGGCTTCGGGTGCTGGAACAAACATGTCCTCTTGGTTTCTTTCTAAAACCAACTTGGGGACCTTCAACGTTGCCAGCTTTTCGTGTTACATTCGCAAACCCGGCCACAGAACCAACGAAAACCAACTGAAAGCCTAAGGAAATGGCTGAGCTTGCCCAAACTTTATAGCTCTGGGTATGGCAGCAAAACATGTTTTGATTTTCATCTGTTTGCAGAACAGACAGGAGCAAAGGGGAAGCCCCCTTATCATAAAAACCCTAAACCCTAAACCCTAAACCCTATTTTCCCCTCTTGGTCTGAAAGGTGGCAAAGGGTTACCCTCCCAAAAAACAAGCATGGAACCAAGGTGGCAAAGGGTCTGAAAGTTATGCACTTCCATGTGATTAGTTAAAACAGGCCAACCACAGGTGTTTGCAAGACATGTTAAAAAGGGGGAGAAAAGAAAAGGTTTTACAGCAAAAAAAGAGACCCAAATAAGCGGTAAACAAACAACAAACAAAAAAACGGCCCACCACAGCCTGCAGCCAGCCTGCCCAAAGGCGGTTCGTCGGTCCTCAGCTCTTGCGCTTCGGTGAGCGCTGCGTTGAGCTGCGCGTAGCGCTGCTGCGTGGCGAGTTGCTGCGCCCTGCCGGAGACCGGGCGCCCCACAGTGGGGGCCGGGGGGGGGGTTCTCGAGGAGAAGCATAGTGATAGTAAGAGTGATACTGATAATAACAATAATAATAAGAATGATAATGAGTATAGTAATAATAAACGTAGTGAGAATAATAAGAATGATGATAATAATGAAAATAATGTTAGTAACGATAAACATAACAAGAATGATACATAAGAATAATAATAATACATAATATTAAGAATAAGAAGCAGAAGAATACGCTCAATCCTACATTTTGATTGGTGCGGTGGCTTCCCTTGAAACAAAATGGAATTAGCTACCTTTCGTTTCTGCGAGGCCGAGTTGGTGCAAACCTTGCACTTTCTCCCATTTGTGGCTTCGTCCCCTGGAAAAATCGGAGAAACATGTCCAGTGATACATTGATTCCGTTAAGCAATATCTACAAGTAGGTCCTCCAGATTTGGGAGCTTAGAATAAGGGTACCCGATCAGTTTTTCTCTGTAGTCTATTTTAGAAACCCTCCCAACCAAAAAAGTTGGTGAGAGGTCGGGCACCCCAGAAAAGACAACAGGCGAAACGGCGAAAACAAGACATTCCCATTGGGTGTCCTAGGCCAAGGCTGCGACCAGATGAGGCTCTCGGTGGCTACGATTTCTGGGGCGCTACTCTGCTTGGGAGAGGGCTTTGAAGCGAAACATGTGGAAACCCGAGAAGGGGCGATCAACTTGAGCCGAATCCTTTTTGGCAGGAACTTTGGTTTAGCCCGAGAAAGTCCCCTGTCACTTGGTGGTGCTTGGTGGTGCTGGTGCTGGTGCTGACGTTGACGTTGAGGATGAGGATGAGGATGAGGATGAGGATGACGAGGATGAAAATGATGATGATGATGATGATGATGATGATGATGATGATGATGATGATGATGATGATGATGCTGATGGTGATGGTGATGGTGATGGTGATGGTGATGGTGATGGTGATGGTGATGGTGATGGTGATGGTGATGGTGATGGTGATGGTGATGATGATGATGATGATGATGATGATGATGATGATGATGATGATGATGATGATGATGATGATGATGACGCTGATGACGCTGATGATGATGATGATGATGATAATGATGATGATGATGATGATGATGATGATCATGATCATGATCATGATCATGATCATGATCATGATCATGATGATGATCATGATCATGATGATGATGCTGATGGTGATGATGATGGTGATGATGATGATGATAATGATGATGATGATGATGATGACGACAGCTGATGAACATGGTTGGGCGAATAAGAAGACGCAAGCTGAACAACAGCACAAACGGCTAGACCCTGACAACCTCAGCCTCAGCCTCTGTGTTGAAACGACCCGATCGCACGAGTTGGGTGGACCAAGGAAATTGTTTGTCAGGTTTGGATCCTTGTCTTCATTCTATGGGTGTGTGTTTTAGGGGACCCACAAAATTGTGGTCCTTTTGGCTTCCCTTTAAAAACCAACCAAAAGGGGGTTTCAGGAACAAAAAGAAAACAAACATCCATGGGTATGATTCTGAATTGGTGCCCTGAAATGGTGGATATGGTTTAGCTTCAAGTGTATGTACTTTGAGAAGTTTCCCCATTAAGCTTCACAGCCACATGGGTGTGTCTTTTCTTGTCAAGGGACCGCCGAAAATTGTGGTTTTCCTCTTGGTGTCCCTTTAAAACTACAAAAAAGGGTACCCTAAAAAAGACAGACCCAAATGCAGGTCCTCATTTCTCACACAGAACGGTTTCCACGGCTGCGAATTAGAGTCATTGGGGGGGAGGCCTAAAAAAGACAGACCAATTTGCTAAAAGCCTGAGCGAACCTTAGACTGTACGATGTTTGGTTTTTTCCCGGGCGCGCGGGCCTCGCGCTGGATACCCGCAATGTGGGCATGGGTCAAACATACTGTGGAGGGTTGCGAAATCCGTTCGCACCACTTCGAAACCATGAAAAAGCTGGTGAATGGGAAAATATAGAAACCAGGACGAAGACAAACGCGGCTTGGTAGAGTTTGTTGACCCATGCCCCACCTGGGGAACTCTACTAGGTCCTCCAGAAAACTGAGAGGTTAGAGTAAGGGTACCAACCTTTTTTCTGTAGACTATTCTAGTAGGGGAACCCTCCCCAAAAAAAGAATGAGAAAGGGCACTACTGGAGGGGGACCTAGTCTAGCAAAAAAACAAACCCAAAGCGCCTCAGCGTGGTCACCTCTCCCTCCAGCTGGTCCCGATATGCCTCGCGGTGAGTTTCCCTACCCATTTTGGTCGAGGCCCGGAAAAAAACCGGGCTGTCCGAACTCTCTGATCCCCTGCAACAAGTCGAAAACGTGTAGCAGGCAAAATGGAAACTGCCGCTAAACCAACGAAAAAACAACGAACAAAGGCCTAAGGAAAAGGATGGGCCGGAAACCACCAAGAAAAGTCAGAAGGCGGGGGCGGGGGTGGGATTTGTCAAACCGGGCTGGCCTTGACCCCTTTGCGGCCGACATCTGTACCCAGAATATCTGACTCTGCTCCATACTTAGGCTCCCTAAAATACACCTTCTGTCTTTAGGAGACAGTACCCCTTTTGCCCCTAAGACCCCTTGAAACTTACGGCCACTCAAGTGTTTTGAAGGAAATCCCGGCACTTGCGCCAAAGCGTTTGCCACAGCATGCCCCTTGAAGGCAAATCACCCAAAAAAATGCACATTACAAAGCCAAGAGTGACACATCACTCGAGGAAGCTTCTTCTGCGGGACCCCTTCTTTTGGAGTCCCACGCTGGCTTGCAGGGGGACATGCACAAAGCTTTTCCCCTTCCGGTGTTCTTCAGCCCTTCGGTCCGAGGCGACGAAACTCAGTGGGCCCATCGAAACAATCTCGGCGCGGCAAAACGAAACCGAGATGCCGAGCCGAGGAAGCCTGCAAAGGTTTCAGAGGCGTCCCGTCTTCGGCCGGATTGAAACACTAAGCCGATCGAGTGGATGAGACACAAACAGTACACTCATGCAAAAAGATGGTCCATTCACAAGAACTCAAAAACCGTGTCAAAAGCATCTTCTGTGTTCCATTCGTTGTTTTTTTGCATTTGCCACTAAACCCCCGACAAGTGACGTTTCAGTCCGAAACGGAACTCGACCAGAAGTGAGTTGGGGGAACAGCCAACTCAGTCCGGGCTGACGGACATAAAACCCACCTTTGCACCAGCCTGCAACCCAGGAAAGCCCCTCCCCCCCCTCCTTTCTGGGGGACATCAGCCTTCCCGGAGTTCCTCCCCTGTTGGGAAACCTAAAGGGATGTGGTGCTACCCATGACAGTCCTGGGTCCAACTCCGCAAGTTTTCAAGTCCAAGGCCCGAAAAGAAGTCACATGGAGCGACAGAAAAATACCGAGCCGGCCGGGTGTCTGGAAGAGGGCCCCCAAAATCGTGGAGTTGTCCCTTTGGCGACTTGGTTCAGCCAACCCACCAATCCAAACCACCCAAATTCAGGGGTGCCTGATTTGAGCCAACCCCCAAAAGGGGTGCCCACCAAAAGGAGACCACAAGAAAACGACTGCAGGCTGCAAGCCTCGGTGTCCTTCTCGTCCCCGCAGCTTTGCAGCCTCGAGCCGAAGGCAACTTTCGCCCCCAACGAGAGCAATCTGCGCCGCTGGCGTTTGAAAGGAAATGATCGGCTCATGACCCCGGACGAAGAAAGCCCTGTTCAACAATAGGAGGGCTGCTTCTCCCTGGGTTTAGGGGGGAATCAGACCACTGTTGGAGGGGAACACCCAACATTACTGGTTTCTATTGTTTCCAGGAGACTTCAGCAATTGGAGGTCGTGGGTGTCCTTTTTAGGGCTTGGGTTGAATGCAAACCGAGAGAAAAAGGAAGAAACAAACAGCTTTTTTCGCGGGGGTTCTTGAAACCGTCGGGTTGCTCCCCTCCCATCCCACCAATTTAACGTGAAACCTGACCTTTGGGGTCCTTGTTTCGACCGTTTTCCTTTCAAAGGGACCGGAAAGGTCCCGGTTTAGTCGGGTTCCATGTAAACAAGGTGGCAGGGTTTTTTCGGGTTCGGAGATGGGAATGAATAGCTGTGCTTAACCTTCAGCTTAGCTCACGGGGCAAATCTCCGAAGCTACCCCATCCTATGCCAGCAAACCGATGCAGCCTGCACTTACACTCTCTCCAACAATCAGAAGGAAGTTACTTCTGGGGCCATGATCAATGGAAAAGATGAATAGAACCGAACAAAGCAGAAAACCCAGAATAGGTCCAAGTAATCTCGCCCAAGCAATCTCCAAGTCGCCCCCTTCCCCAAAAAAAACTTAAAGCCCAAAACTCCCGGCTCACTTTTCTCGCGCTTTGCTCCCCTCCCCCCCTTGTGATGGAGGAGGAACCACATCGACAACACCCCAAAATCTGAAAAGTCGACAAAACAAATCACACACACAAAAAAAAAACACGGAGGTTCAACCCTACACCCCGGATCTAAATCTTGTCTAGCATCACGTTTCCCTGCAGGCCCACCTTGACCCGACCTCACCGACCTCGACAAGGGCGGAGCGTCAAAAAGGCGACGACCGCTTTTTAGAGAGCCCAGGGATGTGGACCCCAGGGAAACCGAGGATCGGTGTGGCCTTGCCCGTCTTGAAAAGCCGCGGAAAGCCCGGAGCCCTTATGGGGCGGAAGCGTTCGAGCCAGTTCAAAGATGGAACCCATAGATGAAAAGAATACTTGAACATTTAGCCTTGTTCCCAATATCATGTTCAAAATATAGTGGATATAGTCGACCCAGCTATGTCCAAGATGAGACAACCGGATTTCCGTGGCAAAGCGAGGTTAGTTCCCCTCCGAAATCGCTTCCGTTCTGAGCCGCATTTGCTCGAAGCTCTGCTTGCAAGCGCTGGTCTCCCTCCTGACACCCGATTTACACCCGATTCGGGCCAAGCCTTGAGTCTGAAATACGGAAACCGTGGACAAATACTCCTTGGGTGTGGGCTCTTTTTGATGGCACTCCGCCTTTTCTGTGTGTGTGTGTGTTTGGAAGACCAGTTAGGAGAACAAAGACAAAAAATATTGGGGTGCCCTGTTGAAAAGAACCTCGGCCCACCTTTTTCAGGGACCCCATCGGGTCTGGCCGGTTAAAAGTTTGCGCCTTGGACACCTCAAACGACTCAATCAAGAAACTCTTCGACGGGAATGTGGAAAGAAAAGGGCTTCTTTGATTGCTCGGGCTGCTTCTGTTCCCTTTGTGGAACAAAAGGGATAGCCCGTGAAGGACATGGGCAATGGGCCCCGCTTTCTGACGGATCTTGCAGTGGCCCCTCTTCTCGTCCAATTTCCTCAGACATCCTCCCCATAGGACTTGACACCCAAAAAAAGTCTATGTAGCGGGTTTATTAGTTGGTTGCTGTTGACCCCTCTGCAAAAGTTTAACTTTCACTGGGTCCAATGGAAAATCCGAGCTGTTTCAACCAACAAGTGAAAGGATTGACGAAACAGATCGGTGTCCAAAAAGCTCCCACCCCCTCACCCCACGCCACCCCACCCCACCCCACCCCACGCCACCCCACCCCACCCCACCCCACCCCACCCCACCCCACCCCACCCCACCCCACCCCACCCCACCCCACCCCACCCTTGTCTTCTCCGTCAAACACCGGCAAGAAGGTTGGGTGACCTAGTGCATCTGGTCAGGTGGCTGCTGCAAGCCAAGCTGGTGAGGTGTGGGCAAATGCCATGTGCCTTATCGACCCTTGTTTCGGTCATCGAATCTAGGACGGAAGAAATAGATGCCCCTCGAAAGCTTATTTGTTTGCTGGTTAAAAGGTAAATGAAGGACACCCCAAAAAAAAACTTGAGAAGGGAAGCTGGCCAGTCTACCATGATCAAACTCACCCAAGTGGCAAGTCAAAGGGAAGCATTCCACTTCTCAGGTTGACTCCCAGACACCACCGGAAAATCATGGCCCAGTGCCTGAGAGGACAAGACAGACATTGACTCCTCTGCTGCGCCTGTCAAAAAGGACCCCTAAGAATGAGCCGTTGGCTGGCGTCTTACCTTGATAGCCATCCAAAAGGATTCCAGTTTGAGAACCTCCTAAGCCCCACATGGCTATGGGTCAAAATGAAACCACCAGGACATGGACCGCAGGCGTTAGTACGTTTCCGTTTGCCAGGCTTCCCTTGTGTGGGGTTCCCCATTTTTTGACCCATAGCCACCTCACAGCTCCGGATCCCACCAAAAAAATGGGGGAACCCCCCCCCTTCCCCCCGGGGAGAGCCATCCAAAATAAACGGGGAGAAAAAAAGGCCAGCCCCGTGAATTGGTCGAGCGAGCCCGTCCTGAGCTCCGTCTGCGTGTGAAGCTCCTCGGCCAGCCGCTCGCGGCAGGAGGACCAGCCCTCCTCGCAGCCCTCCTCCGAGGACCTGCCGACGGCGAATCGGCGAACGGCCAAAGCGGCGAACGGGTGAGGGGCCTCAGCCCATTTGAGGCAGTCCAAAATACCCATGTGGGTATGGGTCAAAAATAGGTACCCAAAATAGAACCCTGGTAAATCGAAACATAGACTAAAACCTGCGGTCCCCTGGTGGCTTAATTTTGACTCATACCCATGCCTCCAGAGGGTGTGGGAAAAACAAATCGCCGCCAATTGGAGATGTTTCCAGAGGGCGTGTGAAAAATAGCCCCTTAAGGATTGTTTTTTTTTGGCGAGTCCCCATGTCGAACCTCATCTAGGACGTATAAATTTGGGGTTCCGGGGCGCTTTACGACCTAATTTAGCCTAGAGTGTAGAGGGGCAAACTGTTCGGTGGCCAAGCCTCACTTAAACGTGCCTAAACTCGCTGGCTCTCAGTAGGGAATGTGTTCAGATTTTGGGAACGAAGCTAAGGATTTACTTAAGGAAACTACAGGGATGCTTCGTGGGGGTCATTCCCTCATTCTCACTGGGAACCAGAAAGAAAGATACCTAATCACAACAAGGGAAACCACTACCATCTGGCATAAGGATAGAGGATTGATTTCGAACCGCAAAATCAGCATTTTAGTGACCAGCGTTTCCGTGCGGTTCTGGTGCTAGGACATGCTGTTCGGGGCATGGCGCCCAAAACCGCCTCTTGGGAAGACACCAAGCGCCGTCCAGCAGATGTCCAAACTGTATGTTTGCCCAATCTTTTCGTGGAGTTTTCAGGGCTCCCAGCGTTCTGAAAGCTCGAGGGAAACATAAGCATCGCTGATTTGTGAGCTCGATTTGTCCACGAAGCCGCTGCTTCCTGCTTAGTGTTGTCCTGAGTTTCTTCCGTGGCATGGTCCCTATGCTCCACTGGCCCTGGGGCGCCCACATTTCGTGCTCTGTCTACACATCACTCCACATCGCACTCCCAGCATACACACTGCTCCTGTCATTTGGGTTGTCGCTATTCACCGTGTCACCGCAATCGTGGCGCTCCTTCACACTTTCAGCGTGGCACAGCAGTGTCACTGGTCAAAGCAAGTGGGAGGTAGTTTTGCCCAGGAGCCTTTTTGAGGTCCTCTTTTGGAAGGGAAATCCAAAGGCCCAACGTCTCTCCTGAGTTCTGGACACTTGACAGCGTGTGACTCTGAAGCAGTGGCGTCGCCACATGCTCAGGGAGGAAGCACTGCTACTGGGGTCACTGCGAGACTCCCTGCTGCCGCGGGTCTGGCCTCTTGCCGGCCCCAACAAAAGCGCCCAAGCTGCCGCCTGTTTGTTCAGCCACGTCTGGGGCCCATTCCACTGCTTCCGCTGCAGTCCAGGCCCTGATTTTCCGCCCAGCATTGGGCTGCACCACTGCAATGACTGACTCCTCGCCAAAACCGCCGCTTAGGGGGCCCACATCCCACGGCAGGCAACCAAGGCCCACAGAAGCAATCGGAGAAGCCCACAGTTTGCACAGGGTTAGTTCTAGGACTCCAGGACTTATGCAACCAGGTGGTAGAATCATCGAAAAAAGCCACCATGGGCTTCGTCGGACAAAAAATTACAGGCCAACAAATCCCCCCCAAAAAAAGGGTCCGGTGTTCCAGAAAACCCCTTGGGCAGGCTCCGGTGTTCCAAAATCCCCAAGGGCCCGCAGAAAACATGTGAGACCTGCAACATACGGCTCGCAGCCCTGGGCGTGAATTGCCCAGTCTGAAGATCCCTGTTGAATGTGAAGCCTGAAGGGCTGGACGCCCAATCCCGGAAACGGGATTGGCATGAAACCTTGGAAGGGTCCGGCAGTGACATGGCTTCTTCTATGTCCCCTGTAAACATCACACCACCAAAAGCAGATTGAATGTGCACACGAGGTTGGTTTAAAGGGAAACCAAAAGGAAACCTCCGCTTTGTTTGACACATACCCTGGGCAATAAACTCATAGGAATCCTTGCCAGGCTTGTCTAAATGTCCTAACAGGTCCAATGACGCCCCACATAAGTGAACGCTTCTGTTTGTTTTTTGGGGGGGCGTCCCCTTTCGGATGGATTTATATAAAAAGAAACCTCGGTTGCTTTCTGCTCCCCTGCAAGTTTAACTTGCGGTTGAAAAAACGGAAAACTTGACCATTCGTTGGCAAAAAGTTCTCAAATCCTCACCTCCCTCGAGGCAAAAAAAACGGCGTTGTTGTCTGTCTTTGTTTCCATTTACCCAGTTTGGGACTTGGAAACAACCGCATTTTGGGGAGGTGTTTGTCCAAATGCTATGGGTTCGCAAGCCATTTTGGGGTTGAGCCACAGCCAAAGAGAAGCCACGAGTTGCAACCGCCCAGACCGAGAGCCCGGCCTCAAGGACTCCACCTCTTCCTCCAAGCGCGCCTGGAGTCGATGTCCATCGAAACGCGATCGCAGCTCTTGAGGCCCACCCGTGGCAGAAACCTGACATAGCACGGGGGAAACATATATATATATATATATGTATACATATATATATATATGTATGTATATATGGGGCTCCTGGGACAAAATGCAGTGCCTTTGAAGAAAAACACAACCTGATCCTGGGTGCTTCATGGTACAGAATGGACAAGAACCGGCAGTGTCGTGTTTGCTTCTTCTGATGGCTGGATGAAACATAATCCGTGGATTCAACTGGGAACTAAACGCCAACGAAAGCCTGCGGAATCCATCGACCAAAGAGCTTGGCGAGCCCAAGCTTCTCGTAAGTCAAAAACCAAACGAACCACAACCACAAAAAAAACACAAACCAAGCAAGCCGAAACCGAAGCAAACCTACCAGCCAAAACCACCAAAACCAAACCCACCGACCGCAACCAAAGAATCCAACCCACCACCACCATGTTCTTCTTCTCCCTCTTTTTCTTTGGGCTCCCAAAAAAAGGAAAGATAATTACGCGCGCGCGTGCGCGGTCCTTTTTTGGTTTGAAGGGTTCCCCCCAAAAAAAGAAAATCGCCGCGGCCAACCAGCCCCTCTGGGCGCCTGGTTCCTGGCGCACTCCTTGGCTTCCCGCGCCATCTGCCTGGCGCGGATGCGGAGTTCGTCTCGGCGGTGCTCGCTGGGTTCCGTGGCGTCTCGGTTTGTCCGGTTTCCACGGCGCCCCAAGGCGGGGCCCGTGCGTTTCGAAAAGACGAGGCCACCCATTAGGAGGTACGTGTCAGGGGACTCAAAAAGAGGGATCGAAGCCTCAAAAGCCGAGGACTGGAGCTTTATTTTTTCGACAAAAAAAGTCTACTGGTTATAGCTGGAGCAGCTGGGAAGAATCCCCTTGTAACCACGTTGGTTGAACTGCCCCAAAGCTTCGGACAAAGCCAGCCTTCGCGCGCGCAGGCCGGAGCCCCCCTTTCTCTTTTTCTTCTCGGCCGCGCGCGAAGCCGCGACCTCCAAATGCTCAGCTGCCGCAGATTTCTCCGGGATGAAACAAAGGGACACCATTTTTGGTAGTTGACCTACTGTGGACGAAAACCTGAACCATCTAAGAGATTTTGGAGGGATGATTCCAACGAAAATACCAACAAACAGTGGTTTCAACCATGGTTGCCAACTGGTGCAGGATGTAGTCCATCCAAGGTTCGGACACCCCCTCCAAGGCACCAAGGGCACCACAGGTTGGGCAAAGAGCTCAGTCGCCAGACGCCCAGCACTCGCTTTCTTGCAGCGACCTGCTCAGCTTGCGGACACGGAGCGTGCAGCCTCAACTGCCGTCCGGGAAGTTCTCAAGGTGAGCCACTTGCTCAAAACCGATTCGGGTAGATGAAGGATAGTAAGGGACGATTTATCTTGCCAGAAAAATCGCTGCGAAATCTCCGCCTTCAAATGATTCTTGAAGCATTCTGGGGATCGACCATCGTTGATACCGATTTTTTTGAGCAAGTGACCCAGGAAAGACCAGCGGATCGAAGTCCCCGAAGGCTTCTCCAGCCACGACCTCGGTGCCTCTGTCGTTCCAAGCTTTCAGCTCGCGGCTCGCGGTCCCGACGTCGCGACGTCCATGGGTCCTGACGGCGCTTGGGAGCGAAGAACGGGTCCGGTGGGAGACCTGTCACAGACGCGGAACGTTGGCACAACAAACAACTCCCGGAACTCCCCAAAAAAAAGGAGAGGCGGATTTCAGACTCCTCGGCCCGAGGTCCTGCCAAAAAAAACACAGAGGCGAGCTCCGTTTTTGCCAGAAGTCGCATTTCCTGGACTGGCAACCCAAAGTTCCCTCAGCTTCCCATTGCTTCGCCTTTCGCAACTTGAGAAGGCAACCCGTATGCATTGCAGCCCTCTACAAGATCAACAGAACAAGAAAACAAGCGGCAAAAAGAAAGAAGTGCCTAGTGCAGGGGTCGTCCCCACCTTTTTGTGGGGCCCCGCAAAAAACCTACCATCAAGGTCAGAACAATTGGAATGCGGATGCGGGGCTCATGATCCTGAGATACTTGAGTTCGCAATGAATATCTTGCTCCCAACTCACATGGGGCTCATGATATGTCCCCTGCCTCGCCGAAACTTCGCCGGATCTCGTCTCTCTCCGAAGCCGACATCGACGTCCGCTCAGCCGCTCAGCTGGCTGCATCTGAGGCCTGCGCCAGCAAGCTCTCCCGTTCCGCGTGGTTGGTCCCCTTGTTCTGTGCTCTTGATGTTTGTCATGCGTGTCATGTCTCCATTGTCTCTCATGTTGCTCCCATGTGTGTATGTGTATATATATATATATCTATATATATATATATATGTTGTTTTGGGTGTTCCATCGTTCGAAGCCGCCCTGAACATGCTTTGTTTGATACATATATATATATATGTGTATATATATATATATATCTGTGTGTGTGTGTTCTTGTTGTTAAAAACCCTTGGTTTTGTTGCTGTTGCTTAATGTAACACCCAATGCGTTGTTTTATCCAACAAAGCAATGAACTGGAAAACCCAAAGGAACCACCATAGCTTGGGGGGGTTAATCCATTTCAGCCGGAAAGCCATCAATCACACCTTGAGGTTCACCCCGTGCGTGGCTCCTTTTTGTGGATCGGTACCACTGGGGGGTCTTTACACTCAAAAACCGAAGGCCCAGTTCAAGATCAATATGCCTCTTGGACTAGATGCCAACATCTTCCTTGGTCTAGAACGGAAAACCGGCCCGTGGTTTATTTATTGTATTTATTTATTTATTTATTTTTTTTGGGGGGGGGGGGTGAAAAAGATAAAACGGGGCAACGGCCCCCGTTTTCTTCCGACCCAGTTGCATCAGCCTGGGCCTCCGCTTCCTTCAGGAGCTTCAGGGCCTTCTCCGCAGCCTCCTGCGGATTGGTTTCAAGCGAGGCTCCGTTGGAAGCTCTCGGGGCCACGGAAAAAGCACAGCGGACAGCTGGTTCCACACCGTGGATGGACGAAATCCTGCACCACTTGGAAACCATTGTTTGTTGGTATTCACATGGAAATCATCCTTCCAGGGTCTCTGAGGTGGTGCAGGATTTTGTCCATCCACTGTAGGTCTCCTTTTGGGGAAAGTACAAAAGGTGGCTAACTGCACGTGGATGGCATAAAGCCAATCTAAACCACTGGAACTCGTCTATTTCGAGGACACCCATGCGAGCTGGTTGTCGGTTCTAAGATGGAGGCTTTTACATTGGCATCGAGGGGTTTGTCTCAACAGACTCGGAACCTCCCAACATCGGTGCTATCCTATTGGTTTCCCTCCGAAGCTTTCCACAAAAGGCGTACCCCAAAAACAATTGCACACCCATACAACCCTTCTTTTGCCAAGAAAAAACGGTCCCTCTTTCTACGAGTGGACCCAGGATCAATAACCCCTGGTCGATTTTTCTGATTGGGGGAGCCTTCTCCCTATTAATCTGACAGGTTGATAAAATCCGGATTAAATGGTTGTGGGTCAAAAATAGGTACCCAAAATGGAACCCTGATGAATGGAAGCATGGACTACAACCTGCGGTTTTCTGGTGGTCAAAATAATTTTGACCCATACCCAAATGCCGACTCCGGATTCATCAACCTGGGGTGTTCTTTCCCAAAAAAGCGGCGAATCTCAACATCGGGCACCGGCTTCCTCAACCAGGCGTTCTAGTTGAATCCTGGGTTCCCCCTAACGCTGACCCCTTATTCTACCTAATTTGTAAACTGGGTTTATGAATTTGGGATTGCCATTGCAAGTTGATCGCACAATGGTCCTAACCCAAACCTTTGGCAGAGAACAGGGATCCTTACATTATACCCCTGAACATTGCCACTTGTAAATGGTGGTTTAAATCTTTATTTTGGTGTTGAAAAAGCCAGCCATGTTTCAAAAGGTTAAGCAAAATGGAGATTTCTTTTAAGGAGCCCTGGAGAAAAAAGGGCATTTCTCTGACTTCCAAACTCTTTTTCAAGTATCCCAAGTAAAGGGTCCCCACCCCCAGGGTCCAATTGCCCAAACCCGGCCCCCAATCACCCCCCATAGGTGAAACGAATGGCCCTGGTAGTTGATGGAACCGGAATCAACCAGGAATCGCCCTCTATTTGTTCAACCAAATCCACCGAAAAGGACGCCTATACACCTCAAAAAGCCGAAAAGCCGCCCCTCCTGAAAAAAAAAATATTAAAAAAAAATGGCCCTCCTGCTCCTGCCCCCGCTTTCCAGCCTTCTCCCAGCCCTTTCCCGTCTCGCCGTTTCTCTCGTTCCCGCGCCTCCGTGAGACCCTCCTCGAGCTCCGGGCCCAGCTGCGTCTTCACCAGACACGCCCCCAGCCCCGCCGCCTCGATGCTCGCGAAGTGCCCCTCGCTGTCCTCCAAGATCCTCACGATGCCCACCCGATTCGACCGCAACAAAATCGTGGGTAACAAAATCCAAAAAGTAGCTGGCGGGTTGACGGGGTCAAACAAGTAATGATTCAAACAGGAGAGCAAGTCAATCCCTGTAAGAAAAAAACTAAAAAGTAGCGGGGGGGTTGGGGGGGGGCGGCAGCCCCACCCATGATGTTCGCAGAAGTGATGATTCGAAAAGGTGCAATGAAATCGCTGCAAAAGTCTAAAAAGTAGCGGGGGGGAGGGGGGGGTTGGGGGGGGCACCAGCCCGCCCCCCATGATGTTCGAAGAATTGATGATTCAACTAGGGGTGCAACTAAATCTCTGTAGAAAATCTAAAACGTAGCGGGGGGGTTGGGGGGGGCGGCAGCCCCCAACATGATGTCAGAATTGATGATTCAAGTAGGGGTGCAATGATTCAAGAAAGGGTGCGATAGAACTTAAAAGGCAGCGGGAGGGTTGGCGGGGGTGGCTTCCCCTATGATGTTCGAAGAAGTGCATGGATTACACAGATTACCTAAAATGTTGTATTTTGCAGCATTTTCTCGCAAAATTGGACGCTCGAAAAAGTGATGATTTCAAATAGGGGTGCAATTCAATCTGTGCAAGAAATCCAAAAAGTAGCGGGGGGGAGGTGGCAAAGCCAAAAAGCCCGGAGAGGAACTGGGAAAGCAGTGGATGCGCAAAGCCAAAGCCGCCAAAAGCCGCATAAACCCGCAAAAAGCCGCAAAAGCCAAATGCCGCATAAACCAACAAAAAGCCGAAAAGCCCAGAAGCCGAGAAGCGAAGAAGCCGAAAAGCCAAGAAGCCAAGAAGCCAAGAAGCCAAAAAGCCAAAAAGCCAAGACGCCAAGAAGCTAACAAGCCAAACGCGGAAAGAAAAGGAAAAAAGAAAGAAACAAAACCTCCCCCAACCCGCCATGGACACCGAGGGAGTCCATGTGGCAGCAAAGAAACCCTTTAAAAAATAATAATAATAAGAAGAAGAAGAATAAAAAGACACCCCAAGTGAAGGAGGTTTGCACCCAAAAATGGACCCCTTCAGTCTCCATGGGTTCTTCAAATTCGTTGGCGCCGAATTTTTCCAGCATGGAGATGTTACACCTTCATTGCATCTTTGGTGACCCTCCCGTCGACCAAAATTGGAACCTGGCTGAAGTCGTGGAACACGAGTTTCCTTTGACAGGGTCCTCTGAGTCATTCCGCCTCCCCCCCAAGGCGCGTTGTGGTTGTTTAGTTAGATGTGGCCTTGCCCACCCACCCTTTTCTAACGGACGATTTTCCAAACATTCAAAAAACGCCATAGAATCCTATCGACAAACCAAAAGGAAACCACCAACCTGGTAAAATCAGTCCCCAATGTCAAGAAACTGCTTGCTTCAAGCCTATCCTCTCTCTGCCGCGAAGTGGGGGCAAGGCTAGTTCTGAGAATTAGGCTTTAACTCTGCCGAAAAATAGAATCCACGAATAAATGGTTGCTTGCTTGCTTGTTTGGTCGGTGGGTTGGTCGTGCATTCGTATGTTCGTCTACTTCTCTCTTTGGCTCCTTTAATCAGTTGTCTCATTTCAAGATGGGTGTGTCTGTTTCGAAGGTACTTTTTGTGTTGTGGTTTTAAAGGCCGACAACCAGAAGGTCAAAAAAAAGGATTGAAATCAAAAAAAGCCTGAGAGGAGCACCACCACTTTTGGAGGTCCCATAAAAGAGACACACCCATATTGATTGGGCGGGTCCCCAAAAATACGACACGCCCATTTGAGGGGATGACGCAAACCCAGCTGTTGAAGGAGGTGCCGGCCGCAAACCCCAATGGAAAACTACCATGTTCAAAGGGAAACCACATTTTGTTCAGGGAAAACCATTGTATGTTTGGCGGCTTTCATGGAAACCCACGGGAAAACCCACCATCTCCGCCTTCTCCACAGCAGCTCCGTCGCTCCAATTCAGAGCCGAGGCGCGCGGCCCGCCAAGCACCTCCATCCGGAGGCTTGGAGGCCTCCGAGTGTTGCGTTTGTTGCGGCGGTCGGTTTTCCTGAGAAAAAGCGAGAGAAAAACAAACGCGCGCACACCACGGTGGTTGCGTTGTGACGCCTCGGCAAAAAAAGATGTGCTCTTGCACTTTTGGCGGGGATCCAATGGGAAATCCGAGCTGTTTTCCCCCCCAAACAAAAAGAAACAACAAGTCCGAGGATCCAACCAAAAAGCCGAAAAAAGAGCATGTGCTTCTTCGCCTGTAAACCTTGGGGCCGCAATGTTCGGATCTGTTTTGGCACATTCTCAATTGTCGGTTGATGCGTCTTTTGGAATCAACGGAGGGCACAAAACGCCATAGGTAGGCCAACCTCCAGTGTAAAGAGTGAATTGAGCATTCCTGTTTGCTTTGAAATCAAGGGAAACATCAAAGTAATATATATATATATATATATATATGTCCCCTCCCTCCCAGGGCCTACCTTTCCTCTCTTCTAGTTGAAGGTGTCAAGTCTACTCCGTGTGCCTCGTTCTGCAAATGCTTGCTTTGCTTACGCTTGAAAGGCAACGAAGCGAAAACGGAATCCGTTTTCAGATTCGAGCCTGGCTTTGTTTAAAAACACTGGTTTTCACAGTGGTTTTGAGTACACCAGGGGAAAAAAAACATTGAACAATCATGTATTTTGCGGCTTTGAGCTATGCAACCTGCACAGACCCAAAAGCATAAATCTCCTGGAAATGAATGCTCTGAGACCTGCACATGCCAAACAAATGTCCAGACCAATTTTGAGAGTCTGGGGGTATTTGCCCATTGTTTGTTTAGCCACATTTAATCTAAATCATATTCGGGAATGAGTTGCTATTCAAAATTTGTTTGCAAAGGCCAAGTGACTTCTTTCCAGAATAAGCTCTATTCGAATTCAAGTCATATTTGGGAAGGGATTCTTCAATAATTTCTTATGTTCAAAAGCCAATTGAAATCTGTCTGCATTTAAGTATATTTAAACTCTACTGAAATGCTATTTTTTCTTGTCTGAAAAAGGTATTCCTGTTCAAATTCTGATCAAATATTGGTGAATTATGAATTGTGTTGAATTATGTCCTTACTAAAGTCTATTCAACTATTCAAATTCCAATCGGAGCAAAATCTTACTTGGAAAGGAATGTATATTTGGACTTGTTGGAGGACTCCCGGCTCCAAATCAAAAGGCTTGGAGAATCCAACATTAGACAGTTCGAGGATTCTGATCTCCAGATTCTAGGTTACAGGTGCTTCAAAATGGACATTTGAAGGGATTAGAGATCCAACAAAATGCTGAAAAAACGTGGTGTATTGCAGAAACTGCTCAGATTGTGTTTCCTTGGACCGAAGATGGTTTCTTTTCCCAAACAACATTTTTCCCCAAACAACAGTCCATTTGCTACGCATTAAGCCGACATAAGGTTTATAAACTTGCAGGAAAGTTTATAAACCTTCTTGAGTGTTTGGCGTTTTCCTGCAACAAGGCAACACCCTGGGAAGTCTTCATGGTCATGGTATCCTTGAGGGGGGGGGGGGGGGCTGGAAGTCTCCGGGGGGGGGGGGGTTGGAAGTCTCGGGGGAGGGGGGCTGGAAGTCTTGGGGGAGGGAGGCTGGAAGTCTCGGGGGAGGGGGGGCCTGTGCGGTGAGGTGTGACTCAACCAAACATTGTCAAAGACTTCTCACCCCGCCCCCTCCCCTATCCCCTGTCCCGTCCCCGAGACTTCTCAACCTCCCCCAGGTGTTGCCAGGTGTTGCCTTGTTGCAGTGAAACCGTCACACCCTTGACATAGTTTATAAACTTTCAGGTTTATAAACCCTTTGCTGTTGTTGCTCAACAGACTTGTGACCCACACAAACATGTGCAACAACAGCACACTTCTTGCGCATATGCGCTCACACCCCCCTGTCTTTAAAATAAGAGGATGTTGTACATTTTGAAGTGGAAAGGTAGGCCCCCCTGCAACAAAAAGGGTGAGCATATATATATATATATACATAGATATATGCGTGTAAGGGTGAGCATATATATATATATATGTTCCAGGCCGTGAACCCCCCCCCCCTTGTGTTTGGTTCTCAGACCAATTGATCTCCCGCAACATTTGGCTCAAGGGCCCTTTTGTAGATCATTGCATCATTCATGATCGCGTGAAGCAAAAGAACCTTAGCAGGCCGCTTACAGGATTATCCACAAGACAATCCACCAGGGACAATCCATCCTCCAATCATCCACAGTGGCATGTTGGATTCTCTCCGGAATAGATCCAGGGACCAACACAACGACCTCTACTACCACAGGGTACCAGTTCCGGGATAGGCACCTGGGGCAGTGGGCCTCAATTTGTGGTAGCGGAGCGGGTTTTCTGCAGAGATCCAAGGGAAGATGTCATCCGATGGAGAAGGCTTCATGGAAGCCTATTCAAGTATGGCCAAAAATCCAGGCTATACGGAGGAAACACTAAATTTATCGATGACCGCCAAGCAGCCGCCATCGTACGACGGAAAAGTCAGCTGGTTCAGGTATGAAGAACTCGTGGACGACTGGGTGACCATCACAACGGTGGAAGCACCCAAGAGAGGACCTCTGCTCAAAAGCAGATTGACCGGAGATGCATATATGTACAAGGCAGTCCTCCAAAACGACCTTTTGCAAGATCCTGATGAAGGAGTCAACTATTTCAAGAACACGCTGAAGAAGTACTTTTTGAAAGGTGCGACCAACGTGTATCTGTACGGGCTCCTCAGTTTCTTCAACCATAGAAGGCAGAACCAAGAGTTCCTCATTTTTACCTCAAAATTCGAAATCCTTCTTATGAGATTGAAGGCAGCATGGATGCACTTGATGCCCGTCTTCACGGCACAGCCCCCATCATCTCGACAGTCCGTACAGGACGCAAATGCAACAACAATTGCTCGACATCAGCAAGCAGCCGGTGTTCGAGCACCGCCTCCAGCCCTCCTCATTGTGAGGACGATCCGACAGTCCTCAGACAGTATATCCAAGGAATGCAGGACAGACAGCGGGACGCATTTCCCTTCGGGGATAATCTCATTGCACAGTTTTTAATTATTCAAAGTGAGCTGTCAGATCAGCAACGAGAAAGACTGACAAGTGCAATGTCATTGAGAAACATCTCACTAGAAAACTACTCCTATGAGATGCTGAAGACGCACTACCATGAACTCTTCATCACGACAAGGACATCGATCCAAGATCCATCCATCCGACCTCAAGGAGGCAACCGAAGCAACACATTCTTCATCATCGAACAAGGTGAATACGAAGGAGAAGAAGGCTTCTGGGTTGAGGATGAAGAAGGACTTGAAGGATTCATGTCAAACAACGATGAAGAGACGTTCTGGGTCCTCGAGGAGAACGATGCGTTCATAGCAAGAAAAGTGTCGGGGCGGAACTTCAAGTTCAAGAAGAGAAAAGGAAAAGGAAAATCAGGAAACAAAAAGGGCAGTCACCAACGAGGTGGCTTTAAACCCTTCAGAAAAAGCGGTTCTGGCGGAAAGGCCAATATGGCCAACGAAAACTATGATCCCTACGACCAGGCATATTGGGGAAAAGGCAAAGGAAAGAAGGGAAAGAAAGGAAAATCAAAATTCCAATATCCCTATGATGGAAACAAAGGTTATCCATCCTATGAGAATGGCAAAGGAAAGAGCGGACAGGAGAAAGGAAAATCCAAGACGTTCGCAGCCACCGCAGAGAAGACGGAGGAGCAGCCTGCCATCCAGCAGACTGCACCATCCATAGAGCCTACCTATGCCGGTTGGACAGACCAAGACTGGGATCAATCATGGACATGGAACGAACATGGCTGGTACTCATCCCATGAGACATCCAGCACAGGACAAGCGTTAATGGCATTCCATGATGCATATGAGCATCCTGGGAAAAAGGCCATCCACGAGAAGCTGATCCAATCAGATACAGTTTCAGAACACAATCTGTCCGTCACAACAAATCACAGCCTTCTGGCAACAAAGCTGATGGCGCCTGTCATCAACCCTCAGCACAACCCGACCTATGCGATTCTGGACAATGGATGTACCAGATCTATGGGCAGCTGGCATGCAATCCAGCGTTTTACTCAGGCCATCGAACCAATGAAGGACATCATCTCCTATGAGTACATTCCGGCCGAGACCAAGTTCACTTTTGCAAACGGAGAGACCGCCAGGGTAAATTGGACCCTGCATCTTCGATATCACACAACTCCTCCATGCAGTACCAACATCGACGTCCTTGAACAAGGAACTGTACCGATCCTTCTCAGCATCAGCCAGATGCGGAACCTCTACATGACCATCGAGCACACACCTCAATGTGACAAGATCACATGCAAAGCCTTTGGCATGAACCGTCAAGCAGTTCCAGTATCCGGTACAGGACATGCACTCGTCGATCTCGCTGGAGTTGCAAGAGTGAAGGCGCATGGAGAAATTGCTCACAAGGGCCTCACCAACTATGTCTATGACGATGATAACAGCATCAAGTTTCCCTCCGGGGATCTCACCAAGAGCGAAACTGTTTGTGCAGCAAAATCATCCGAGACAAAGGAGGACCTAGCAACTCCTAAGATCATTGGGTCTCAAAAGCAGGACCATTGGATCCTTGACAAGAAGAACAAGCAGCTCATCCGTGTGCACATCACGCCCCGAAAGGCGCTGTTCACACCAAATGGAGCCAAGGAATGTCCAATCAATCCTGATCACATTAGCCGAGAACGTACTACGGAAATCATTGATGCATCCGCAGGTGGAGATCCAGACATTCTAGAAGACAATTGGAGACTTACATCCCAGGCAAATAAACCAATGATTAACCTGTGGACAGGTAAGACCATTTTCACCTTCGCGGACAATTCGCTTAAGGACGAAGAAGCAGGTTCAGGATCGGCAGCAGACAGGATCATCGACAAGAGGGGCCGGTCGACTATTGAGCCAGATCCTTTCGCACCATCCTCAGAAGAACCAACATCGCTTCCGCTTGC